TTTATGGGTATAAAAGGAAAGATGGGTGCGTTCCTTTCTCAATAGCTCAGAGAGAGATGGAGGTAGTAAGGAAATCAATTCCTTGTGGACTACCATGATTAGTTTATCCTGGTTATCAGTAATCCTGAACATAAACAGGTGAATGTATTTAAAGAAGAGTTCATGGTAAATAAAATGAAGACCACGGCACTGACTCCTGGTGAAAGATTTTATTGAACAACAAAGTTAATCTGGACATGAAGTGTTGATGGTCTAGTGGTGAAGGGGTGTTATCAACCAGACCAGGAACAGAAGGTGCTAAGATCAAATCCTGTTGATCCTTGTCAGATTATAGAAAGGATCCATTTATATATAAAATCAAGTATTATGTGAACAGTTTTATGCAATTCTGGGTTTGTAATCTGAGGCATGTTACTGCCTTAAAGAGGAAAATGTTAGATCTGTATTGGTAGCTCAGAGAGAAGAGATGCTGGTCTGGAGTTCAGTGGGTCGTGAGTTCAATTCCTGGTTTGTCTCATTGAAGAGAACTCTCTAAAAAATACATGCAACTTCAAGATTTTATTGGCTTTCAAAATTAATATTGAAATCATAAAGATAAATGCGCTACGAGGAGAGGACCATAGAGTGACAGGGCCTGTGGTGTGATTGTTAAAGCGTTGGCTTTCAAGCTGGAAGCTTGTTCGTTCAAATCCCACAGAGGAAACTATTTTTCCAACAAATGTAGAAGTTGAAACAAAAAGATAAATGCGCCCGGAGAAACATCCAAAGTGTGACAGGTGTCACAGCAGAGTGGGATTGTCTGCGACCGTAAGGCGCCAGTGGTGCAGAGTCTGAGTTCAATTCCATCTGTGGTTGACGTAGCCTGGAATTACCCACTGCGGTGGGTCGGGGAGGGGGCTGTGTCCCCTCCCTGTTTCCACAACAATAATCGGAAGGGGTTATACATCAGGAAACAAGGTCTGAATAAAACTTTTAAAGACAGTAAAAATAAAGTTTTCTTGAGAAGTTTTCTTACTAAACTTAAAAAAGTAACATTTACACTAGAAGAACATACATACCTACATATAAAGCAAATGTTACATTTGCAAAGTTTACTTAGCCATTATTATATTTTAATGTTGCATTTTCAAGTTTTATAATTGGTGTTTGAGACATTTTTTTAGAGTGGCTAGAAGTAATGTAGTGGAAACCCTTTTCTTCCAGTTATTGTTTTTCTCTCTCTCTCTCTCTCTCTCTCTCTCTCTCTCTCTCTCTCTCTCTCTCTCTCTCTCTCTCTCCTACAACTGTCACACCATTTTGACTTTTCTCTGTGTTCTTTCATTTATCTTTTTGTTTTCTCTTCATTTGTTGGGAAAACAGAAGATCAACTTCTATGGAATTTGATCCTACAAGCTTCCAGTTTGAGTTTAATTAATGCTTTAACATCTATGCCACAGCTCAGGTCACCCTTTCGCCTTTCTGGGTGGATTCATGTTTTTGTTTTCTCTTCTACAGTTGGAAAATGACAAGACTTATCTGTATGGGAAATAAGTTGGACTTCTTGGGGATTTGAACCCATGAGCTCCTAGTTTGAGAGCCATTGCATTACCATCTGTGCCACTGTTCCTGTCAAATGTCAGGTGTTTCTCTGGGTGAATTTATCTTTTCCTTTTCACTTTTACAGTTGGAAAACAGGAGAAATACTACTATATGACTTGACCTTTTTTTGTAGCTGTAACGTTTGTTTGTAAAAGCATTTAAAACCTATCAACACATCAGAGAAAATGTTATTTTACTGGGAAAAATATACATTCGCTTCATATTGAACCACAAAAGTTGTAGAACATTGATAAAGTCAGTGGATAAGATCAGCTTAACAACTAAAACTGATCTATTTATCTGGTCATTGGGTTTAAAACTATAACCGTTTGTAAATATCAACGTCCCATAGAAGAAACTGTATCCATCATTTTATTTGCAAAAAATTTTCATTTTTTTCATTTTTTTAAACCCCCCAAAAACCATAAAAAATAAAATGAAGAGGAATTGTATTGTGTAGAATCAAACATTATGTCTTTTATCCAGGAACCCAAAAATATTTACGGTTCTAAGTAAGTTTTATTTGGTTTAATTAAGCTAGTGCTTAATTAACAGTGATCGTCGCTCGAAAAGACATCGTCCCAAAGGTGTTGTGCACGTGTTTGTAACAAACATTCTCTCCACAATGAAATGGTTGCATTGTGAGATCCTCTGTCCACTTTGATTTTTGGCTCTGCAGCAGATAGTCCAGCAGGGAGGCAGAGAGCCCTCCTCTGCTGATTGAGCTGATGGGTTGGCAGCACCTCCCGTTCTTAATCCTGCGTGGAAAAGGCTCTTAGATCGTGGAATGGTTAGTGCAAAGGAGAGATTTACCAGAAACAGGAAAAGGAACTTCAGGAACATTCCAAAGTCAGCTCCTAAATGACGATAAATAACATGAAACATTTCTCTTGCTTATTATATAAACTGGATAAGTGAGAAACATTTCTGTATAAACTGAGAGACTTTGGGATTAGGACTGAACACCTTAGAGCAACAATGTAAAGAACCCAGAGGAAAATTCCCAATGTTTATCTTTTATCTAGTTCTTTTTTTTTTATGTTTACTTTAAATCTGCAGCTTGATTAATTTCAGTTTCAATCGGACCTCAAGAAACCATGAGATCAAAAGTCCTGTGAGGTTAAGGTCTATCCTAGATGTTCCCTGAAAATCAGTCAACTAGTTCTCTAGTTTGACTAGAACTGAGTTATCTAGTGAATGCCTTCATCTGGTCACATGACTTCACAAACAAGTAGATGAAACAGTTTTAAAGCAGAACCTGATCAATGTTCATGCATAATAAGACATGATACAACCCATGAGGCCAAGACAGTCACAGGATTATGGAAGGCAATGACCAGCCGATCACGAGATTAAATCAAAACAAAACAAGAGCAACATTTTTATGCCATATTTACCAAGACGCTATGAATTAATAAAGGTCGAAAATCCCTCCCTGGTTTGAGATAAAGTGCTTGATTCTGCTGCTGTGGGGCTGTCAGCTGTAACATAGTACTCAGATCTCCAGAGATAACCTGACAAGCTGCTCAGTGAGAATTAACAGCAAATAAACAGCAGAGAGAGACGTTTGTTCAGCTGTCTCATATATACATATCAGGTTCCCTCTGAATGATAGAGCCTTTAGTATATTTACTCAATTTATTGCACTGATGCTTGTGCTTTCGTCGTGAGTTTAGAATCAATACTATGCTGGCAGCCTCATTAATTCTTTATGTTCTAGTTAAGAAAAGGTTTTATTGCAAGGTTTCACACTGCATGTTCCATCCCCCCAAATGTACATTAAGCAACAAATAACTTTAAAACCATGATGCTTTCACCTCCAGTTGCAAGTTAGCATCACCCTTCCCAAACATGATGAATTCAATTGAATTTATTGTTATAACACCTATTTATAACACATCATCTTAAGGCACTTTACAGAGAGAATTCAATCAGATCATACAGTCAGAGTGGTTCAAAGTTAATGCAGCAGATTGCATTGACTCATCGACTCCAAGGCAATCCTTCACACTAAGTGTGCTTGTAACAACAGTGGAGAATAAAAAAATTCCCTTTTGACCAGAAGAAGCCTCCAGCAGAACCAGGCTTAGTATGAGCAAGTATTAGCAAGTTCAAGGAGATAGAAGCAGACATTTAAAACAAACATAGAAGCACACATCTACAAATACTGTTTAATGTTAGAAAAGGTAACTAAAATTGCTGCAAAGAAACAGGTTAGCAGACAAACAAGACGAACTATGTCTATGAGAGAAAAAGGACTAAGCACTGAAAAACAGTGCTCAACTATCACCTATAATCTAAGGCAGCATTCCAGTTTTTTCATTCCTTCTGGATGGGTTCACAGCCAATACTGCAGAGTGGGAGAATAGAGATAGAACGAAGCAGAATGATGAAAAAGGGGGATGAAAAAGGGGTCCCTATGTCCTCCAGCAGTCTAAGCCTATAGCAGCATAACTATAGATATAGATCAGGATAACCTGAGCGATTTTAACTATAAGCTTAGTCAAAAAGTAGAAAGTAGATCAAGTCACATTAATCTCTAACTTTATAGTGGTAGGGAAATTGCTGTTTCAATGGAGGAAAAAAACTGATTTTAAAACAGGATTTTTTTTTTATATATACATTTTCTCACTTTTTGGACAATATAGTCTGATAAAGAGTACATTTATATTCATGTTTAAGCCAGAATAATTTAAAATTTTAATATGACTTAATTCCCACAGTTGTCACTCTGTGTCTGATGAGCAGCATCGCTGTCAGCTTATTTACAGGGGATTGTGTACATAGAGCCTGGTGCTTTGGTTAAATTTCAGCTGTTTTAAAATGAAATGAAGGGGTATATATATTCAGGATGTGGCTAAGCAGACCTCAGGTGTCATAAAAAGATCCTGCTCACTGATTTGTATGCAGGGCATGCTCATTTGCAGCCAACAGTTTGCAATGTGAGTGTAGGGACTGCGGATCTTTGCCATCGAAAGTAAAAGTGGTAGATTGCGGCGAAATCCTTGGGAGTGTGACAGAATGTTGATGAAACAACACAAGAGGAGAGAAGCAGGGAAAACTAGAGGGAAAGCAGAGAGAAACCAACATTTATCTGGGTTGTGTTTCTGTATGCAGGGCTGAGGCGGGTTGCAAGCCCCCTGTGAGTTTTTCTAAAAATAACTTGGGGAGGAGGATTCCTTCCTCATGTCTGCTTCGTATCTCTATCTTACCTCCTTCTGTTTTTGCTACTAAATCAAGCATATATAGGTTTGTGTTCATCTGTTTCTACCAAAAATAAAATGAAGATTTCAGTTTGTCATCATGCCAGACTTGTACAGAACTTAGAGAGTAGAACGAAAGATTATTCAGCATATATTTCAATTTGTTTACTTTAATTTAATATAGTCCAATTTATAAATATATGTCTGGTTCTCTTCCAGCTGTGTCCATCATGCGCCACAGTGCCTCTGCTTTTGGATTTGCTGTGAGTCGAGAATAAAGCCTCCACACCAACACATCCACAAACGGAACGGTGGGAATGCCGTGAAGCGCATGCTAAATACTTCTTTGTATTTTCCCTGTTCAGTTTGACGCCGTGCTGGACGTGCTGTCCTCCGTCATCGTGCTGTGGCGCTACAGCAACGCGGCGGCTGTGCATTCAGCCCACCGGGAATACATGTGAGTGTTGGTCTGGTCATCCACCGCATAAACCTCGCAAAAGTAAAGTCTGGGAACGTTTGCACATTTTCTTACACTAAAAGCAGGAATCTTAGTCTGTAATGTTCGGAGGGATTGAAACATTTTTTTAGATGTAGTGAGGTATGATGTGTAGTGTTCTGAAGCATTGAATGCACCGTCCAGGTAGGTGTAAACCTCCTTGACGGGCTTTTGTTGGAAGAAAAACTTCCTCTTCCTTTCTGCCAGAAGCAGTTCTGAACTATTTTTCTGTGGTAGATTAAACCAAAGTTAATGATTTTACACATTTTTGTTTTTGATTTGAACTAAAAATTTGACCATAAAACCCAATTAAAACACATTAAAGTTTAAGGTCTCAATGTGGAAATGATCAGAGGAGAGGAAGTTTTCTGCAACAGCCTGTCTATGCATATATGTCTAAACATAAAGAGCAATGAAAATCCTGAAACCTTGAACTTCATTTCGGATAAAAAGCTAAGCTGTCTGTGCTGCTTCCAGAGCAGCAAGTACTCGATTCACACACCCAGGAGTGGAGATGTGTCACGGTCTCTGAGGAGTATCAAGTAATTGCAGGAGAGACAACAGATGAGATCATATCCTATGGAGGAGGGATGGAAACCTACACAGAAAAACATTGACTAATAAAGCAATACAGCAGTTAAACTGTTTGATATGCTGGCATCCTGCTACTATCTAAACGATTGAGATAAAAATGGACAAAGATGGTAATTATTGGATTTAGTTTAACCTTTTACTTTACCTTGGAAAAAATAAACTAAATAATTCACTCGCTTTTATGTCATTTTTTAATGTGCTCAGATTAAGATTTTTATTGAGCCTATTTTAAGATAAATGGATGTTTAATAAGCTTTTCATGATGAAATTAAAGGAAAAATAAAATCACATTTTTGAACGAAATATATCACCAGCTGGATATTTACCTTCAAACTCACAAAAATCAGTTTTTCCATTTATCATTTGATTTGTGTACTAATCCAATCCCAATCCTTTGTGATAAAACACGTAAATTACAAAAGATTAAAGTAAAAAATAACCGATTTATAAAAAGTTATCAAGAACGATGATTTACTGCTTTAGGGTTTCACAGCGTTATTGGGATTTCAGGTGTAATACGGTGGAAAAAGAGAAGAACTTAATCGTTTAAAACATTTAGTAACTTATTACTGCTACTATATTGGGGTGGCGGTCAGGAAGCGTTTAATTAAATACGAGGGATTGCTGCTCATTCAGTGCAGTATGCTGGACTTTAAAGTTTTATAATTGGTGTAATAAAGTACACTTGTATATAGAAGAAAAATTCATCACTGACTGAAAAACTCAATAAATAGACTGAATGGTTATTGCTTCATTAGTGCAGGTGTGGGCATTTTAAATGGTCAGGTGTAAAATTGAGAAAAAATTTATCAAAGAGATCACATGTGCTGCTGTTGTTTATGGGATATTAAAGGTTATTTTTAAGGTCATCCAGAGGTCAACTATCCCCCCCGTTAAGTTCTGAATTGAATAAAACACGTCTATTCTTCAGCACACATCAGATACTTAATTTTTGCAGTCAAAATAGACACCATCCCAGCAGATGTTTAGTGCTGTGCTCGTTTCCTGATATAAAGTTATTGTATAACATCACATGTCCTTCCTGTGCTGGTATTGATCATAATAGTGGGCATGTTTACCTTATTTAGTGGCTGGAATCATTGTTTAATATTTAGTAAATCATCTTCCTTGCTTTGGACCTGCGTTACCCCTGGCAACCACATCTCATTTCCTGTCAAGGTCTCGCTGGCTGCATTTCACAATAAAAGCACAGGTGAAACTTCACATGACGGCCTGCTGCTAAATTGTTCTCTATGAAAAACTTTTGAATCGCCTTTGGGAGACCATAAGTTTTTGGAAAAGCCCCAAAAGCTCTGAAAAAAATAAAAATACATTTTTTTTGGTTCATCCAGACTGATTCGGCAGGACTTCCTTGTAACTCTTCCACCACAGAAAGCACCTAACTTGGCAGTGTGACAGTATAGGACTAAATTAAAACGGCACTCGTCTGGCCTGATTTAACCATTAGGAGCAACATGTATGAAAACATTCGATTTGGGAACCTTTTTTTCCTCTTATTCCCAGCATCCAATCAACGGCTCACCAATGGCCTGCTCAGCCAATCAGAACCGATCTTAGCAAACCGGTTGCCAAGTCTCAGAAGCAAACCAATTTAAAATTACATTTCACTGTTGTTCTGCGTGAACAGATCAACACACTCACTTGACATCAGACCTCCAGAGGTTTTCCTTCCAGCTAATTGGAGAAGTTCTGCAGTGAAGCAGCTCAGCTTCTGATCTAGCTCCCAGTTAACAGGAAGCATCTTCGCAGCCAACTTGTGCAAAGTGTACCCCTGCGGCAACAGATTAAAGAAACTGGGTTCTTTTTCCTCCAGGTTCAGCTCGTTTCTAGACAGCCTCTCTGTTTTTACTCTGCTGAGGGATCCATGTTATTCTTCTTAATTTGCTGACCTGTCTGTGCCTCGTGAAAGGGATACTTGAACAGTGAAGCCAAGAGGCTGAGTGGTTACCACGGTAACATACTTGAGGTCAGGGAGCAGTAGATGAGTTATTTTTCTTTATCTATGTTGAAATAAAACCTGAAGGTCTTATGAAACAATCGCCCTTTGTTGTTGTTGTTGATGTTGCTGTTCTGCTTTGAGTGATGAAATGTGATCGGATCCAATCGGACCGGGTGTTTGGCTGAAAGCCTTCACTCGTGGTGTCTGCTGCAGAGGAATCAGAAGCAGAGGAGTCGTATTTTCATTAAGCGCAGGAAGCAACAGGGAGCCAGGTAGCAGGAAAGCTCAGCTCTGTGTGTGTTTGTCCTGCTGCAGACTTCCCAAAGGGATGCTGGGTGTTGCCTTGGTTACAGCATCCAGTCATAACCCAGGACTCCGAGTGTCGCCGGAGTGCAGCCTTCAGACACTGAGCGCATTCGCCATGGAAACCATGCATGACCAGGACATATGCTCCATCTGGCTTCAGTTTCCCTCTAGATTTGGTTAATTGGATGAAGGTTGTTAAAGGACATCTGCTGGTTCTCAGTCAATACGCATCTATACCCCCTATAGCACTGTAAGAAAGCTGAATGGCTGTCTTTAGAATTTAGACATCCAAGCCCCTGACCTGTTTGTTTCCTTTCATTCCTTTGATACTAATTACGCCTGTTTTAGTTTAGTGCAGAGGTCTGAAAGCTGCAGCAACAAAGCTGCATGTGACTCTTAATGGAGGCTAAAATGATATAAAGAACCCACTAACATACTACATTAACAAATACCAACCTTTTTTATAAAGAATGTTTTCTTCACTACATAGTGAAATTGAAAGAACCAGCATTTTTCTTTTAATTAGCATGAAAATGTGTTATATATTTATTTTTTTATTGGAATATTACCCTAAAGAATAAAATCCATGTTTCCTCTTAATGAATATGAATCATTTTATGTTTTTCCTTATTTTAAAAGCTAAAAATATGAATAAACTCTGGGTTGTTAAAAAGAATAGAGGAGGATTTTCACGACTTTTTGAAAAGACTCTCCACTATTTAAAAAAAAAAAACTGTTCCCGCTTGCGAGAGTGTGCACAAGCCCATTTCTCCTCGTGCACGCTCGTTTAAAAGTTGCTCGTTCAAGCTTACTTTCCAAAAGAAGATTTGCAATTTCTTCATCATGTCAGATGAAAATGGGGATGAGCACATAGGGCGGCCTTACGTAAACATAGCACCAGAATGATTGACAATTAGGAGGATGAATTATTTTGATGATCCACCCTGAAATATCTTTAAGACAGCAACATAATTCCTATGTCAATTCTTGTGAATAAACACTAATAGCTAGTGTCTCTTTAGCTATGAAAGGTTGTTTACCCTTGGCTTAGAGCATCAAAGTAAGGTTTGTTTCCCTCTCTTTCACAGAGCCTGTGTGATCCTGGGCGTGATCTTCATCCTGTCTTCCATGTGCATCATGGGAAAAGCCATCCATGACCTGGCCACCAAGCTCCTGCCTGAAGTGGTGAGAATTTTAATTAAAAATTCTACACAAAAATGCATCAGGAAATCATTAAAAAAAACAATTTTACTGCAATATACTGGTTATCGAAAGGCTGCAGCATGTGACCTCAACATTTAAATTGAAACATGCAGCATTAGAATACGTGATAGTGACAGTCACTCCCATAAACAGGATCACCTGACATCGCTATGCTGGAACCATAATCCGATTTTTTACTGGAATCAGTGGTCATGTCTGCAGCTATCCAGGACATGTCCAGCCAGGACGAGGACGCTCCTCTGGTTGTCTGCCAGGGACACAGATTAAAGACTTGGAAACAGCTGAATTTGTGTTTGTGTCTGATAATATCCGTACCTCACATGCAGACAGCCGTGGCACATATCTACAGGATTTACACCGAGCGGACTCTGTGTGTCCTCGTCTGGCCTTTCAGGGCCGGTTTGATCGGACTTTGACCATCAAGTAGCTTAAGTTGGCAGAACCTGCCGAGGATAAGAAATGAAAATGGTGACCAGCAGTTGGTTTAGAAGGTTTCTGCCTGAAGGCTCATTTATAAATCTGCATAAATTTCTTTATGTTTTTGTAAAAAGCCTCTGCAGAGACAGAAACATGTTTATCCCTCATTATTAGGATCGTAGTTGCAGCCTTAAAGTGATTTCCATTCTTATTCTGACCAGATCTTTACCTTTTAATTTTTAACAACGCTTCTCTCCACCCAGCTTAGTCTGAGTGTTTCAGGTAAAGAGATTGTGTGAACAGATGATCGATTTCCTGAAGTGCAGCAGCTGCCGCTTCCTCATTCATGCTATACCTTTTCTAGACAGGTTAATTATTTGTATTTTCATTTGTTAGATAAAGATGCATCATGGGAAGTCTTTTCTATAATGACCAAATTAAAATTATTGCAAAATAATAAAAGGTTCAATTTCGAGATTCAAGCAGGAGAAGAGGAGGCAGCTCGTTTCTAGTTTTCAAGTTTTTATCCCACTAACTGTTGGTGAGGATGAGGTGCGACCATCCTGGCGCTGCTGCTGGATGAAGAATGTCACAGATCTCAGGTGTGAAGACTAGGGAGCTTCAACACCCTGCAAATAGCTTTATCGCCCTGTTGCTAGGCAGTGTTGGTCGCCGTAGAAACCTCTGAGGATCTAAAGTGAAAATTCAAATAATAATTATAAAATCAGTTGTTGAATCTCGTATATTGCTTTTAGCTTTCCTTAAACAAGTGTTCCCTAATTTAAAACCTTGATTTTTTTTTTTTTTGCATCATTCTTCACATTAGATAATAGTTTAGTGTAATGAAGGCTGCATATATTGTTAGAATGGCCTTGTCAAAGTCCAGATTGAAACCTAGCTTGGAAAGTATTAATGTTTACAGCTGCTCTTTATCAAGTTGGATTTAATTTGAGGTAAAAACAAGGAGAAATTGGGGAAAAGATCAGCGAGGTCCAAAGCGTGGTTCTGAGGCCAATTTGTTGTCCTGAAAATCATCTGAAAATGCCCCTAAAATTCTAGAATGAATCAACTTGTCATCCCTGTGTTGTTTTTTTAACAACAAAAAGTTTTTGTTATTTTAATCGGTTTCGTTTTCACAGTTGTCCTCTGCAGCAGGTTGGTTCGTAATATAAAATCTCTCAAAAATTGTTAAAATTTTTGTCCATAATGTGAAGGAATTCTATAATATGTGTGAAAACGTTACATTTTGAAAATAAAAACATCGTTATTTAAGCCTCGATTTCCTGTTATTAGAAATCTCTGTGTGTGACTCTGCTTTAATCATGTTTCTATTATTCATGGATCGGCTCGGGGCAAATGGTTCTCGAGCCTTTCTAACTCACCAAGGTCAGAAATTCATTTATTTTTTCCAAATCCTGTATCGATTTATCGGAGCGACTCTGTTTCCCCTCTATTCATCTGCTGCGGCAGAGAAGAAGGGTGATACATGGCGAGCAGAAAAGCGTAAACAAAGGCTGACAGATTGTTTTCCTTCTCTCTGGCTTTGTAACACGCCAGCTTCTGGTGCAGAGCAGTCAGGGCAGCATCATAGACGCCGCTCAGCCTTCCTCACTCTGCTACTTCTTCATCCTCATGAATTGTTAATGAGGAAAGCAGCTGCTTAAATATGCAGGTTGGAAATGTATGAAGGTGGGACTCTTTGACACCCGACTGCTCCATTTGTCGTCCTCTGGGCCCAATTAACGTCCCTTAGTGTCCTCAGCAAATCTTCATCACTTTTATAATGGGTTTCAGGGACGGTAGTGACCTACAGGTGGAGAGAAATACACTTCCAGGGTTAAAACGCATGAATCCAGACGGATCAGTACCAGAACGCCACAATAAAACAGGGAGAAGCTTTTGGTTAAACAAATGCATCTCTGTCACTAATTTTAGAAAGTTAATTTAAATATTACGGTAAACATACAGGTAAGCATTTCAAGCCTTAGTCTTCTAATTGTAATCACTATGGAAAACCCAACACTAATTAAAAAAAGAAATGTCTATATTTGTTGGGCATAGAGAAGATCAGAGCTAATAGAAGCCCAGATGGCTTTGAGTCGACTCACCTTCATCAGCATTGCTGGTTCTGGGTTCTAGTAACGCTAGGTTAGTAGAACCAAACGTCCTCTTTTGACCAGACAGGTCCACTTTTTACATTCTGTCCCGGGGCGTCCAGATGGGTGGGATTATAAATGTCTGATTTTCACCGTTTTCCATTAGACCTTGATCATATATTAAAATCGATTGGCGCTTTGCACAGAATATTACGGTACTTTGTTGCCTGATGCATTGACGAAATTTTGGTTTCAGAAATGGGCGAAATTTTTCAATATAACTAACTTTACTGTGTTTGACCATCTAATCAGCATCAGATGTTTGTACAGGGAGCTTCTCAGGAGGGACAGCGGTGACGGCCAATCACACAAGAAAAGACAGTAGGGCAATTGGTCCTAGTGCTCGACGAATGTCTGTGTAGTGTAGTGTAACATTGTTTTTGGACGTAAAACGTGCAGGGGACCAAATTGGATGTTTGAAAAGTGCAGGGGAGAAAAATAGGTCCATGATCTGATGTAATTCTCCAGGGAATACCTTGTGGGAGGCTCTAGCGAGACACACCCACATTCAGGGAGCAGAGCAACCAGCATTGGACACAAAATGCCAAAACGACAGTGCAGCTTCAAAGATGACAAGTCGCAACAAAGGGGCTGAGTGCACCGTGTGCAAAGCTGGCACACATGTTTCAGAGGCTATTAAAGGTGCAGGAGATCAGAAAGCTCACAATTAAAAAGCTTTGCGAGGTGAGAGCTCCTCTGCAAAGTTGACCTGAGTACTTTGTTAGACCTGGGGAAACAGAGGATACTGTAAAGAGGTCATTTATTGAGACTGCATTTTTTAATACAGAAGAGGTCATATCTGGAACATGATCTTATTTAATTTATGTATTTTAAAAGAGAGCTATAATTTTTTTACTGGTTGTTACACATTTATTTTTACACCAGAAGTTGTTATTATACCATTTAGGTATAGTAAAGCATATGATCATTAACATCTGAGTAGCCTGTCTGAATCCATCTGGAGGCTGGGCAAAATGTTCTCGTCTTTGGAAATCGAAATCTGGTCACCCGACAGAACGCTCCAGATGTTTTGGTAAAACAGAAACACCCACGGTCATTCATCCAGCCTTTGGTACAAACTTCTGCTGGAAAATTAAATCAGCATCTCTATAAAGCAGAAAGAAGTATAAAGTGCTACTTCTTTAAGCATAAAGATGTTAACTTTGCAATTTGACTTCCAGGAAATGAAATTTGAACGTTATCTGTAAAGATAAAGAAATGGATTTTGTTCTACAATCCTCTCCTGACTGGGGTCATCCTTCCACTTAACTTTCTACTAATTCAGCTCTCTAAGGAGCCTTTTTTTTAACATAACTTGTGAGGCTTTGTTAGGCGTCAGCAGATCACCTGTCCAGTCAGCTTATCTTGTCGCCTCTGACCCAGACTGAGACGCTAAGGCGCTCAGGGAAACTTTACAGGTGTTTTTTGTGGATCAGCTGATTAGGATGCGACAGTATTTTTCCAATATTCTATTCTTTGGGTTTTCTTTATCGGTCACTGATAATCATCAAATTTAGAAGAATTTAAGGCATGTTATGGCCTCTGCAGATGACTAAATATAAAGAAATCTAGGAGGTAGAAACAATTTAGGAGAGATTTGGATGTTTCCTTGGTTTGTTTATATATTTAAACCTGAATCTGGCTCCTGTAAACGGTCTGAGGCAGTTTATTTAGGTGTTTTAGATGTTTGTTTTTTGCGTGTATAGTTCCCTTATTGCTAGGTAGAATAAAACGGAACATCCCTGTACAGATCATTTTCTGTGTTCATGTTCTGATCATTGTGTGAACATCATGGCCTCACCTCCAGCACTGAGTCAGGTCTACGCAGCAGGTTTTTTTTCTTCCTTTGATGCGAGCCAGCCCAAGTAGCTTTTCGTGGCTCCAAGGCCGTAGTGCAATATTAATGCTGCTGCAGAGGCACTGAGAGCTCTGCAGCGCTCCCTCTCTTCCGTCAGCCGTCCTTTGTGCTCCAGGTTTTAGGCTCTCTGATTATCTGCTGTGAAATTCTTAAGAATTTAGAGCAGGAATGTTATTCAAAGGCAAAAAGAGATTTTGTTTTTCCATCTTCTTATTAAAGGTGGATGCAGCTGGTTACTGAGTCTTTAGCTTTAGGAACATTTCAATCAAAGACTAACGGCTTTCTCTCTCTTTCAGGACGACTTCCTGTTCAGCGTGTCCATCGTCAGCGGCTTGGTGTGCGTCGTCCTCGCCGTGATCAAGTTCATGCTGGGAAAAGTGCTGACCAGCAGAGCTCTGGTCACCGATGGTGTGTGAACACACATGCTCACATGAATCCAGTTAATGCATCGTCCAGAGCGCAGCCTTTTTTAATTAAGTCCAACCAGCACTAATCTGCCCACGATGTAAAAAAGCATGACATGCATTTGTGCAGCTACATTCCTGCAGCTTCAGTCGGACGGATAACTAAAGTCCTGTATTTCCACTTCAGATTTTACAGTTAATGCTGCCAAAGTGAGCATGATGCTGCCACTTCCGTGTCTGCAGAAGATTTGCAAACGTGCAAAGACTGATGAAATGTTTGAAAGCATGATAACTTTTTTTCTTTTTTTTCCTAGGATTCAACTCTCTGATTGGAGGGATCATGGGGTTCTCCATCCTCATCAGTGCTGAAGTGTTCAAACATGAGCCCAAGGTGTGGTACCTGGATGGAACAATAGGGGTCCTCATGGGACTCATCATCCTCGCCTATGGAGTCAAGTAAGCTGCTTCAAAATATCAAAAGAAGCATTTGCAAATTAATTGACTGTTATTTTATAAGAGACATGAAAACTGTTTGCTCTCAAAGTTCCTCACAGGAGGAGGTGATGTTCCGTTTTCTAACTTCAACTTTTACATTTTATCCACAAACTTTTAATTTTACTTTGATTTTATGTGACAAAGCAACAGAACTTCTAAAGCAGAATCGGAGCCGTTTTTCAAAGAACATGCTAAGCTATTAGCTTCGACCGTAAAAACTTTTAAGCTGTGATTTATTTAAAAGGAGTCAAAAATGACAAATGGCTTTTTTTTTATACTTTCAGTAGTACACTAATTTTATTTCTCCTCTATTTTACTTTTAAGCATTTTGCGTTGGGTTGTCACTTAAAAAATATTGTGTTAAATTGCTTTTCTAAACAGAAACTTTTGCATGCAGTGAAACTTTTAGATGTTCCTCATAAATGTGGACGTTCTCTGATTGTTTACCTCTTTCAATAAAGTGGGATTTCTTTAAAATAATCTAAATAAGTTGAGAAAAAAAAAGGCTAATCTCAGTTTTTAAAGTTTCTATGTGAAAACATGGGCTAGTTTTGCTAAAGTTTAAATAATTTAACTTTCTGGTTTCAGTAGAAGCAGGATTTTCCCCTCAAACTGTCCTTTCTGTGCTGCAGGCTGCTGCTGGACACAGTCCCCCGGGTCAGACAGACCAGAAACTACGAGCGCTTCGAGTGACGGGGGGGGCTACGGTAGAGACACTCCCACCTGACCGTCCGCAGACGGTCCCACTCGAGCTGCAAACACTGAACTGGATGATGGGAGCAGCGCTGATGGATGAAACCTTTGGGAACTTTGAAGTGTTTTACTGTTCGGTGTACATACAGTATATCTCCACCTGTCTGGTCGCAGTGGGCGCTCTGCTTTCTCATGCCTCCATTTGTAGTTCTACGTTTGGGCTGCAGGTTGTTAAAGGCTAATGGACCCAGCAGATGAAGGGTACCTGAGCTCCAGCTCATCATGACGTAACAGCTGATTGTTTGGCTGAGCACGGCTATAAAGAGCTCAAACTGGCCAACTAAGCCGTTCTGTATTATCAGTTTAACTTTTTTATGACTATAGAGAGGAAATCAATGTGAGGCCCATTAGGCGAAGGAAGCAGGACCGACATTTTAATGGCTCCGTTCCAGTCCTGGACTTTATTTTTGCCTCCCAGGACAGAGGGAAAACTTTTCCAGATTTAACTTCCTACGTCTGAATCTTTTTTAGGGTATTGCTGAAGAGTGAAAGCAAATATTTATTAATGGTAGACTCGTTCCAGAGGTCAGATAGATGGAACATATTTTCAGTGGGACAGCAATCGGTCTGTTTTTGGATGTTTTTTTTTCTTTCTGACCCTGAGCTGGAAAAATAACTGGAATCGTCTGAAGCGACTCAGATCTTGCACCATCTACTGACCAAATAAGGTTACTGCAATTTATAAACAAGTAATTTTTTAATGTACAGCCTTACCTGTGTGATTTATGAATAGATTTGAGGCTCAATGAGACTTATAAAACTGAAATTTAATAGTTCAGCTTCATTATGGTACCTGTTTGGGATAATGGATATCCAGCTGGTTAAATCCCACTTTAAACCAGTTTCTATCTGTTTTCCAGTTTTAGTGATTCCCTCATGGTCCACTGTATTACTGTTTCATCGTGATGAGCTGGATTCCGTCAGGTTAGTAAAGGGTCTGCAGCAGCTTTATCAGCCTCATAAAGCTCCATGAGCGACTATTTAGGGTTTGAACATCTTGACCACTGGTTTAGTAAGTTCTAGCTTTAAATCTTGGGTAAGTTCAAAGAGAGAAATGGTTTTCCAGGAAACAGAGGGCATCAAATAAATCTGCAATCGCTGGAGTTCAGAGTTGACATTTTGTGTTCTGGTTAGCCAGTGACTCAGGAGTCGATATGTGCGCTTCCTTATCATCAGCTGCTGTTTGCTTTGGGATTACGCTCCTAGTTTAATGTTGACACATGAAGATATGATGCTGGTATAAAACTTGATGCTTCCTTCATGTTGATCATTTACTTCTTTCCTGAATGGGAGTATCTCTGTTAACGGTTTCTTCCTGTTTGAATCTGAAGCCTTAATTTTGCCGATCAGTGATATGTAAATATTCTCTATGGTATGATTGCCAGGTTACAGCAGTCTGAATGAATGTATACTCTGCTTTTAAAAACGAACATCTTTTATTGCAGCAGTAAAATCCAACCTGTTAGAGAAGGTTTACTGTGGAAAATGTTCCAACCAGCAAAGATGATCCGCCTCTGAGCCTCATTAATCTGTTATCCTGCACAGCTGTGAGCTTTCAGAGATGAAGCTGACCGTGTTGTTGGAAGATGACACTCCTTTCAAATACTTTGGTGCGGTGGCAAACAGTAAACACAGCAGTGCTCCAGACCCCTGGAGGGAGTTTAACACAGAACAAACGACATCTGAGGGTTTTGTTTTAATGTTATTGTACGATTGAGTTTGAAAATGAAAAGCAAGGATGATCTTTCTTCCTCCAACTTAAAAAAAATAAAATAAATCCTGCGCTAAAGCCTTACCTCCTGTTTGTGTGGACGGTCTGGTCTGGTAGGGTTCTTTGTCGACCCCCTCTAGTGGTCTGGAGCACTTCCATTGTTATTTTGCAGTGAGTTTCCTGCTGTGTTTACTTGCATTTGTTTTGAAGTTGAATCAAGTTTTTGCAGCTCATCCACCAGGTGCACTATATTAAATGCTTTTAAGTAAATACGCCAGTAAACAAAACAAAAAGGAGTCGTCATTTGGGTCCTTGTGCAGGATAATGATCCAAAACATGATGCTGAATAGTCTTAGTGGGATAATTCTGCTGCAATAAACAGAATTACTGTTGAAATTGAAATCTAAAGGAGTCATTTTTTCTTAAAATGAGTGCATTTGTTCTTTGATTAAAGAGGTACACTGGAAAAAATCAAAATCTAGATAAGTCATTATTTCTTAAAATAAGTGCATTTGTTCTTTGATTGAGGAGGTAAAAGAGACATTTTGCCAATGGAACAGGAAAATTTACACTTAAAATTAGAAAACACAATTACATTGTCTCATTTCAAGTGCATATTATCTAATTATCTTATTTTAAGAGTAAAATTGCCCATTCCGTTGACAAACCATCTAATTTACCTGCTCAAATTAAGGGTAAATACACTTAATTTAAGACATGTTTTACTAATTTTTAGATCATTTTTGCAGAGTAAAAGAGATATTTTGAGAATGGAACAAGACAATTTACACTTAAAATAAGAAAACACAATTGCATTGTCTTATTTGTAGTGAATGTTATCTAATTATCTTATTTTAAGTGTAAAAAATACTCACTCAATTGGCAAACCATACCATTTACCTGCTCAAATTAAGGGTAAATACACTTAATTCCAGAAATTTTTACTTATTTCTTGATCGTTTTTCCAGTGTACATCTTTAACGGGAATAAATGAGGCTGTGCTGCATGAAGCTCAAACGCAGCAGGAGGAGCTGCTGCTGCTCAGCCTTCATCAAGCGTAAAAATAATGTGTCTTCCTGTGATGTTGAAGAAATCCAGATTCTGAGCCATTTGTCACAGAAAAAAGATTTATTTAAAAATAAAGCTGTTTCCCTCTGACTTATTAAGAACAAACAAAATGTCGCTGTTCCGTTCAACTTTTGGCTGATTGGACCCCAATCGTCGCCGCTCTGCTGTATTCAGACACTGAGAGCTTCAAACAATATCAGGCTAAAACAAAACTAACCCATCGGAGTGAGCGGGAAATAAGATTCAAATAATACAGAAGTCAACGAGGACGAACTACTGAGGATGTGAGGTTAAAAAAACCAAAGTAAGGCTTTTGGCTGCAAATGAAAGCAGGTTTGTCTCTCAGCTTCTCACTCAGGAAGTCGAATCCTGAAGTAATCAGTTTAAGGCGACCATTTATTCTACGTCGGCTGCTATAATCCAATGACTCCTATTACTGTTAATTGGGTAATCTGGTTACAATGAATCATGTAAAAGCTTTCGCCAGAACCAAACTGAAAGCACCAAAAGGCACATTTATGTTTTTTTTTTAAATAGATCAAAACTTGGCAGCAGATTAAAGATCAGTTAGAGAAACAAAAACAATCTGAGGAAATGGTGAAAGTGGAGCGTTTGTTCTCCAAATATACAAAAAAAAAAACAACTGGAAAGAAAACAGCCCAACATGTCTGAAGCTCTAGCTCCTTTTGTGGATAAAATAAGGCACATTTGTCTGCTTTTCTCTGTCTATAAGAGACAGTGGGACAAAAAAACACATAAGTAAGCTAAACCAACCCGACAATTAGGCTACGTTCACGCTGCAGGCCTTGGTGCTCAATTCCGATTTTTTTTTTTTGTGAAATCTGATTTTTATTTTTTATTTTTTTTGCATTGCGGTTCACATTTCCAAATATATGCGACTTGTGTGTGATCTCCTGTGTGAACTGCATTAATACAAAGCAAGAGTGTTTACAGAAGTGAACACTGACGGTAGTGCTGGTGCGCATCTACACTGAAAAAATAATGCAGCCGCTTTTGGCATTTACTTCATATTTGATTAATTTAACACAAATGTTTTATGTCGTACCGTACTAACATGAAAAAGTTGTGTTAAAGTAACTAAATGCCAAAAACAGTTGCATTATTTTTTTCAGTGTAGCCATCTTTCCCAACCTTGTAACCTCAATCTTTTTAAGATGGTTTAAAAAAAACTGCTCTCCGCATTATCGTCCACCATAGTGGTTATTTTTCTTGCTGCTTCTGCGTAACAAGACTCAGAATAGTGACCTTTGTCGAGTATTAAAGAGGTTCAGGTCGGATGAATGCGACATCAAGTTCAGACACAGGTCGCATTTGAAAAGATCAGATTCGTATCGGATTCAAGACCACATTTTTTTCAGACTGCAATGAAATGATCAGATACAGGTCACATATGGGCCAAACCGCCCCCCCCCCCCCCCAAAAAAAGTCGGATTTAGGTCACTGCAGGCTGCTGTGTGAACGTAGCCTTTATCTATGATTACATCCAAATTGTAGAATCCAGGAAACCTCTGAAGCTTTTCAAATCCGCCGTAATTTATTGGGATTCTATGATTGACAAAGTTTGCTAAACTGAAATAGAAGGCATCTGTTATTATCATGCAAACTGGCCGCAGCTAAGTTGAAAGTCTGAAAGGTGTTTTTTAGTCGATCAAACATAAACCCGACTTAAAATGCCCTTAAGATTACGTTTCTGAAGACTCTTGCAGACAGAAGATTCGCAGACAAACATCCTCATCTTAAATCATACATTTGTTTTTAATTTTATTCTTAAATTACCCTCCATAAATAAAAAAAAAACAGGAAAATGACCACATCCCTGCTATAAATAAAGATTTCCAGCAAAACACAGCCGTACAGATCTGCGTACAAAATAAATACAAAAAGAAATATTTCAACTGATATGAACAATATACAGTGTTACTAATATCTTTTTATAAATCTTTCCAAAACGATTACTATAGTGCATTATTTTCATTGATTACAAGATCTACAAACTGTTTTTCTGTCTTAGTTTGCAGGCAAATTAAAATCTTAATGATTATCTGAGGAAAAACAGGAAGGTTCTGCTCTGCAGGAATGCTTGTTGGCATTTTTTTTTTTTTTTTGCTGCTTAGTTCACGGGACAAACATTTTCTAGCAGTTTTGACGGTTGGTCTACATGAGGACACAGACTCTGTACGGTTATCGGTTCTCTGCAGGCTGTGGCGTGTTTTTTTTACCGTGTCATCGCTTCGCTGACGGCGCTCTATCATCTACGACGACGTCACATTCCTACCACACAGCGCTAGATACGAAGAATGACATGCCCTTCCGAAAAGAAGAAAAAAAAATACTTCCTCATCTTTCTCCCTTCTGGGGCAGGGATCGGATGTTAGGCAGCAACATTCTCACAATTCTCCGACACACAAACGCACCTCAGTCATCCGTACATGTGCAACTTAAGCAAATAAAAACAAAAGGCTGATCACTGGCTGTTCCAATTCTGGACCTTAAAATCCTTTAAGGGAGGTTTTTAGGGATCGGTAAAACTTGCAGATTAAAATAAATCAGGATTTCCATGTTCGCTGATGACGCCCATGTCTTGTGCAGAATAGAGGAATGAGATATTACAGTGTAAAACTGAGTTCTTCTTCAGCTTATACGCGTGTGTATCCGTTCCAGTGCAAACCTACCTAATGGATAACAGTGTTAGATTTGAACAGGAGGAATGGAGGGAGCAGTTGGAGTGGCTGTCAGTAGGGGGGGGTAGAGTCCTTTTGTAGAAAGGTTGTCACGGAAATGACCTGTGGGTTAAAAGTCTCACCCAGCTCCCTTTGTTCTTTCAAGTAAGGTTACCTGGAGTCTTGGCGCCCCCTGCTGGTGAATCAGAGTTGGAGGGTGCTCTGCTTGGCTACATGAGCGTGTCTCTTGCTGGGGGAGGGAAATTATGAATATGAAGAACAAACACAGTCTTTAAAAAGTTTCATGTGTCTGTCACTCCCACTTCAGTCCACCAAAGTAGGTCTTCTTCCACACCCAGCCCCCCTCCTCGCTTCGCTCCACTAGCCTGTGTGCTATAGGCAGTCTTTGCAGAGCGCCACCTGGCCCTTCATGTAGTCGCGGCAGGGACAGACTCGTCGGAGCGTCTGATGAGCACCGGCGCAGCTGAACAGGAGGAGGTCCGATTGGAAGATGCAGTGCTGGCGCGTTTCGCTGTAGGCCGGGACCACCGTATCTGCACTCGACTCCACAGTCCTGCATCTCAAACCAAACCTTGAAGGAAAAAAAAAAAGCTTCAGCTCATCGCCTCTAAAATAGACAAACAGCTCAGAGGAGGTCTGTGCTGCCATCTTGTGGCCATGATCCTACCTTTCCAGGTCCTTGTCCTTGTTGAGGTGCTGGAAAAAGGAGGGTTCACAGATGAGCTGCGCCTCCTGACACACCTGTTTACACGACTGACCCGGCTCAGCCATTTTGACCTGCAGAGCACTGAGGGGGGGCCACATAACCTGGCCGTGGCAGAAGTCCTGATAACAAGGTAGAAAACAAGAACCATTTTAGCTTCTATTGACCCCCTTTAAAAAGTACCGACGCACCAAGAACCTTTGACCTTTTGTCTCACAGAGTTAGATTTATGGAGTTGAGGGAAAATAACACCACTGTAGTTTTGGTTGGGTTTGGGATCCTGCAGGCATTATTTTTATAAAGTCCAGAGAATCACCCTGCATATTTAAATTAATATTTATTCCATGAAATAAGAATTTAACTTAACCTGGCAGTAGCTAGATTGATATGTGTCGAATTGAGTTGATTTCTACGTTATCAATCTGGAATGGCTGCCGTTAAGTCCATCCATGGTGGGAAGTTTAGTACAATACTTCGAGCTGATTGGTTGACGTGCCAGCTAGTACCCGCCTTCCATAATATGTTTTCAGCCAATCGTAGCAGCGGGATTCATCTGCAGCTTCTTAAGTGTTTTCACAACTAGCGGAGAAAAAGCTGATAAATTTAACTTTTTTCAAATCCTGTCAGAATAAAAGCACATACATCTTTCCCATCTACAAATGCATAAAGTGCTTCTCTTTGCTCCTTTTTTAAACAGGAAACTGTCGTTTTAGTTAAAAACGAGTCGATTGCAGTATCGCCAGTATAGCCATGTTTGTAATGCTCTGGCAAAGCCCTTCTGGCTGTCATCATTCCTCATGTCCTTCCCCAAAAAACACAGCTGGCATGCCATTGGTCAGACTCGCTGGTTGCTAAGAGACGGACGTATTAGCAGGAGTCTTTCAGGATGGATTTGTTGTGAGACTGAAAACTCAGATCTCTCGACAACCCAGCTTGCAGCGCAAGGTCATGTTTACCACCAACCAGCAAGATTTCTAGCTTTCATAAACCTGTAAATCAACTGACTCCATCATTGGAAAGACTTTAGAGCTGGAACCAATGGACCAGCTGATGGCACAGTTATGCTAGAACCTCCACACGCCGTTTAGGCTGAAAACACTTTGAGATTTCAAAGAGCCGGTCTCCAGACCAGAACCCAATAGAACATCTTTGAAGGGAGCTGAAAGCTAAAGGGTCTGGATAGAGGAGTAGACCAGAAGCACCTGTAAAATAAGTTTAAGGGAATGATTATTTGACTTAGCTCAGCATGAAGTTATTGTTGGTTTGTTTAGCTCCTAGACGAGAACAGGAACTATGAAGCATTTTGAACGGTTCTGCCTTTATCTCCTGCGTCTATGTTTAAATATGACCCTCATGACCTGCTGTTTCATTGTTTGGTTTTAAGGAGATTAAAGAGAAAACACTATATTATGTAGCTAACAAAGGGAGCTCACCCTCCAGGGATGTCAGCCGTAATAATCCCCTCAAGCAGCTAATTATGAGCTAAGATAATTAAACCTTTAATTCTTTCTGGTGCCTGAGGAGAGACCCGTCCACAAAAGGCACCAGGAGAAAAGGACGCCGGGGTCTGCAGTCTGTACCTGGTTCTCGATGAAGGCGTTTACTCTCTGAAGCATCCCCTCACAGGTGAACTCGTAAGGAAGGTAGGGCTCGATCTGACCAGAAAAACAACAAAACACACGTTTAATCAGGGCGGCCTGAACAGACGGATCTGTGTGTGAAATCCTGAGCCTCTTTGGCCTCGACTGATTTTAGCTTACAGGAAAAAAGGCTGAGAGTAAAGAGGAGCAACAACTGCTGCCTTTGTTGTTGCACTAAGTCATTCTGTGTCTCTTTGTGCTGGCGCCTGGTGAGCTGCTGTTCTGGCCTCGTGGCCACGGCACAATATAAGATGTTTAAACACCCGGCCTCATTCTCATCGGCTCAGCTGATAGTTTTACCTTCTGGCTGAGGATGGAGCGAAGGGCCCTCTCCACCTCTGCGGCGTTCCCGATGTCCACCGTCCACACGTGTGGCTGGCCGATGTAGACCTCCGCGTACGGATGCTGAGAGGTCAGCTGAAGACGAGAGCGAGAGAAACGGAGCAGAGGTGAGAAAAAGAACCTGGAGACGAGTCGTCCTGAACGTACAGAAGTGTCCACTCACCTCCCTCAGAGTGGGTTTGCCTTTGAAGAAGTCCGTGTTTTTGCTGCTCTTCGGAGGGGTGAACTTGGGGTTCAGGAATGCGCAGCCGTTGGCGATGGCCTCTAATGGCGCCGGACCCTCGTAGGGGAAGGAGAGACCCACAAACAACTGAAATAAAATAAAATATGACCATAATTAGTACAAGGAAAACATCATTTAACCCATCTGGGAGCAGATTGTAAATGCATGACCTTTGACGAGGAAGTTATGAGAATTGTTTGGTATAAACCGTCCCCTGTAGCTTTGGATGGAGGTCATCATTCCCCACACAGCATGATGCTTCTACACCATAGAAACGGTGTGTTTACTGATGCCATACTTCATAAAATTACCTCTGAAGAGAACAGGTCACTGTAGATCCAGCCAATGTTTTAACAAATTAAGGATTTCGCCTGATGAAATATTTAAATAAAGAAGACAGCCAGGCTGCAGGGGCGGTCAAGTTAATTTGCCATTTTGAACTGCTATGCCTACAGCAGCACAAAAATACGGCGAAGGCAGCAGATTTTCTGAGAGCAACAGGGGAGGAAAAACAGAGAGTAATAGGCAGACATCAATGTGTGAGCCTGTAGGAGTTTGTTAACTCACTTGTTCTTTAGTGTTCTGATGAGCTGGTGAACTTTGATAGGAAGGCCTGACATTAGCCGGCGCCATTAAAGGAAAGCTGATAGCGATTTAAGCAGCTGGTTCACGTCAACAAAAGGCTGCTATCCAAAAGGCTAACGCACACAATGCTGTATTGTAGCTGTGCTCACATGACGGCCTGCATTGATGACTACAATCTGGGCTCTGGCTGCTGTGCTGCGTTTGAGCAACAGGTGGCAGCAGAGCACATGATGTTCCTCCTCAAAGCTGGAAACAAAGGAGCACTATTTATAGGGAGTGAGGAGGGAAGGGGAGTGAATCCATCCACAGTGAAGGACTCTGAGCCTCAGAGGGAGGAGCTCATGGATAACAGCCAGCATCTCTGATGGTACCGCTATGGATTAACATTAAAAAAAATACAGAAATCAATGAGGGATACGTTTTTGACCCAGATCCTCCCCATTAGCTCACAGTTAAACAGCCCTGTTTACATTGAACGCATCACATCACACTCCCTCTGCTCCGTATCCAGGCTCCCACTGACTGCCATGCTTAAGGAAGCCCCCTCCCTCTCTGTGCTTTAACCACAAACAAGCTGAAAGACGGACAACACATAGCGTATATAAACAGCCAGGGTTTTAAAGGATGTTTAAGTGTCTCCTGTGTGCTTTTATTCGCTTACATCCCCTTAAGCAACCGTTGCATCAGACTGCTGCTGCTGTCAGATGGTTTTAAAAAACAAAATCATCCACTCCAGGCTGCTTGGATCTATCAGCAGTTCCAATGAAGAAAAACAACCAGTTAGTTTGGAGGATCCAAGAAACCTATACTAAAGCCTTGCATTATTAAAAAATACAAAATAATTCTGGTTCTGCTGCAATCAGGTCTTTTCAGAAGATCTCAACCAGCCTTGCTGTCCAATCTGAAGAATAAAAGCATACGTTTTATTCTCATCCAAGCAGAAACTTGAAGTTTCTGGTTGGAACATCAAGATTAATATTTTCGCAATGCACTGAAAAACTCCAGATGTCTAATCTTAGACTGTGGGTGGGCCAATTATATGTAAGGCTCTGCAATTCAGACAGATGCATCTGATAGAAACCAGCAGATAATATTGCCTCTCATGTCTTCATGTACGTCAGAGTGAAGCAAGGCTTGGATCTTATTTACTCTTTGGCTGCTCTGCAGGCCATGATGCAGAGAATTAATGACACATGGAACACATTCGTAGATACGTTTTTTTTTTTTTTTTGTAACTCCTCTGTCCATAGCAGAATATCAGGGAGAACATTGTCTGATAATCATTACATGCTTGAGCTACATATAATTAAAATGTTACCTGCTAATTATTATTCATCTTAAATAAATGCAATAAGAAAAAACTCTACAGTGATGCTGTTTGACCAAACAGCGGGAAACATTCAGTAACAATGTTCCCAGGAATCAGCCACCCATTCAGGTGCTTGATAAAAGGAAAGCCACAAAAAGAAGATGTGAGGTGATATTGGGCCACCTGATTTCCATGTGTTCTTCGCGGGCGTGTAGAGCACAAGCGCACAGAGGGAGACAGACAATAAACTCATCTCCGCTTCGTGGTTTGAAATGTAAATTTAACTGTACAAAAGGTGACAGTCGTCATGCAAATAGTGACTGAGTGACACAGAAACTCCTGAACGGCTCCACGTCAGATACTGATTAGATGTTCATTCTATGAATTTTATCCCCGATAACCACAAACATGCATTTCAGAGAAAGTTTATGTTGTGCATCAACAAACTAAAGCATAACTGTGATTAAATAACTGTTATACAAGAGTTGATTGCTTAGAGCAGGCAGGAAGTGAACTAAATACAGAATAAAACTGGAAGAAAACATGCTAGAAAACATGTTAATATGAAGGCAGAAGTTCACCTTCTAGGGCAGAGGTCACAGATCCGGACCAAACATTTATAAATTACTGCATGTTGTCAAAAGACAGTGTCTAAACATCATTTGTGCTGCTTCTCCTGTTTTTACCGTAAAGCCCTTCAGAGCGTCCGGCACCAGGCTACACGTGATACAAATTAGCCAATGAGCTGCTGACAGTCAGGGTTACTACTGCTAGCTACTTCTAGACAAAGCAGGCAAACCTGTGGCAAGCTGGGCGATGGGAAAGGAGAAGATGATGAGAAAAAGAAAGCAGAGAAAGTGTGGACTGCTGGAAGAACTGCAGTGAACTGGTGAGAGAAAAGTGAAATGGTGCTCAAAGATGACCCTGCACATTTAGAGGATGTTTGGCTCAACATGCTGCTGAGAAGCAGGATTCTCCACCATGAACAGAATCAGAAATAAATATGGATCCAGGCTCAAAATGAGCTCCTTGATATGTACTTGAGAATGGCTTAGTCTCCATTCAAACCCAGGTTTAAAGCCTTGCAGGGCAGCATAAAACCCACTGCTCTCATAAAAAAGAAAGGAAAAAAAAAAAACGGTTAGTTCCCGTGTTTTTATAAAATAAAAGTGAGTCAGAAAATTGTCTATTTTTCCTTAAAAAACTATTTACATTCCAAAATGGAAAAATGTGCTATTTCTTATATTTGTTATTTAAAAAGTCAATGTATAACATGGATGCATAAACACTTTAAACATCATTTTTCACTGAAATAAAATAAAGTAACGCATTAAAATGTCTCTGGACCTTTACCGGTTGCTAATTTTCTTTATTTGGACCCTGCTGATTTTTAAATGGTTACCCCTGTTCTAGTGCATCAACCCCTAGAAGCAGGGGAATGAGTTAGAATGGCCTCGTCAAAGCACAGACTGAAATACAATTTAGATTTTTAATTACTTAATATAAATTTCCATGTGGTTTCCTTAGATATTTTTTGTTTACATTGATTGCATTCCCTTTTTCATTGACAGATTTGCATAGTTTAGTCGTTTTAACCCTAACTGTATAATTTTTGTTGGTTTTAAGTTGTGCTTTGTCCAGCAAAAAACAGATGAAAAATAGCATTTTTGCTAATTCTGGAGCATTTACATAATGATTCATGCGCACTGTCCCTACCAAATAAATCCAAATCCTCTCCATCCAATCTTAGCCATTTCATACAAGCAGTACGACAAAAAAATAAATAAATAAAAAGGTCTGTCTGTTGACTTGTAACTTCAGCAGTCCATATAAATGCAAAACAGGCTTTAATTAGATAAATAAAATAGAAAAAGAAATCCTTTTTCTTCTCCTCTACTTTGTGTAGTTTATTAAATTCCGATTATATTTTGTTAACATCAAAATGTGAGCAACTTAAAGAGTTGTGAGTCATTTTAATGACTGATTAGAAAAATGATATATAGCCTGGTGTTGATTGTTTTAGGAGTAGTCTGGGTTTCCAAACACAGCTGGATTATGTACAATAAGCAGCTTTGGGACGTGAATCACGTCAGGAAATTAGGTTTCAGTGTTTGACTGCTCAGAACAGAACCAAAGCTCTTCTATAGTCAGACGTTAAGGGAAAATCTCTCCTTCCAGGACAGTCTAAAGTATGATGTAGACCTCTGCAGTGCCTCTGCTGTCTGTCTGATCTCTCTGTTCTCTGGTTTTCTGCTCTCAGAGGACAAAGTAATCAAAGCTTCCCTTCTGCAGAGGATGAAACACCAAAGCAGAGAATCACCGATCGTTACTGGAGCTCTTTCATAGTGAAGCCGTCTCACCTTGGTTTCTCTCAGGAGGAACTGAAGGTCTCGGCCGCTCAGGATGCCGTGGTTCTTGACATAGCTGGGCAGGTTGACTGTGCTGGTGCCGTGTACCGTCCCGTGGACCTCCATGTAGCCGTGGATGATGTCCAAGTACTTCCCCTTGTCCTGGAGTCAAAACACAGAGGATGACAGAGAAAAAAGAAGGACTTTCAGGTTTAGATGCTCTTTATTTAGGAGAAACAGAACTGACCATCCATCCAGTAAAAATAGCAACAGCATGGGGAGGACATGTTCACAACAGAGTTATTGTCGTTAAACCCAGGAAATCGGTTTTAATTACTTCTGATACAGTGAGCAAAGATTCAAAATCTACTAACTGGTGTTAAAGTTCATTATACAGTCAGAGCTGTCAGGTGTGGAGAGGAAAGTCTGACTACTGCTGGATTACATCATGCTCATTTATCTTGCATAACAGGATGCATTTGAACCTAAAAACACTATAGAATATTAGAAAATCTGGAAAGTGTGGTGTGCATTTGCTTTCTATCTGAAAACCCTGCAGCCTCTGATTTGTGTCGGTCTGTCACATAAAATCCAGATCAAATGAAGTGGGTGTAACATGACCCGCTGGAAGAGGAAACGGCTCATCTTTAGGCCAAAAAGTGAAAGTGTTTTCCTTCCTTACTGCAGGAAGTCTCACTGACTAACTGAACTATTGACTAAAATATTGCAGAAACCCAGGAGGCTTTATCAGTTTTCAAAAAGGGACAAATTTACACCCACTCTGCGCAAAAACTCACTTTATGAACCGCTCTGCTCGGTGTGTGCGGCTGACTTCAGGGCTTCCTTTAGGAGCTTAAATTTCAGGTAGCCGCTGGTCTGGGTCCCTGGAGGCCTCGCTATCAGATGGCTCCAGCCAGCCTGCTGTAACTAAAGCGGTCTGACGTGTTTGTGTGAGAGAGAAGGGAGGACGGGAAAAGAAGGGAGGAATTGAAACGAGTCCCTAATTAGGAGGTGAAATCACAAGCCTGTAATCTTTTCACTCGGGAGAATAGAGCTGGGATTTATGTTTGAGGGGAGGAAGGTTAGTGCAGGCATCTGAGAAGGACCCAGGTGTCTGCAGAGATGAGGAGAATTTACACAATGAAAACAAGCTGTTTTCCTCTGCTGATCTGCAGATGATGGAGGAGATTTCAGAGTTGGGTTGGTAGGAAATTAAATGGTAAAATTAACCGTTTTTTGCTCAGAAGGTGAAATTCTGACCGGTATGAAGAGCGACTGATGTGGATTTCATATTCCTGTTTGATCTATAGGGATGTACGCTTCTCCATGTACGTCCAATTTGCAACATTAAACCAGGAAGCAGATCGATCGATGGCAGCAGCTCTGAACGGGAGAACATGCTCAGAGAGGAGTTATAAAATTACTGCTTGAGCTGGCGAGGCTGATTGAAGCTGGAGGAGGAGGTAGGGAGCCTTTATGGCCTTGTAAATCAGGGGGAATTTGTAAACCCTGGCTCAGAGAGGAAACGGGAGGGCTGAGTGATGAGTGTCCGGGGAGGAGCAGCTTAGCGGCTAACATATAGCCTCTGAGAATCGCACACATCCAGCTACTATTTAACCGTCATTTTACTTCCAGGATCTAAAGCTGCTTTTATTCATTGCAGGTTTTCCTCCCTCTTCAAGATATAAGATGTGTAAAAAGCCTAAATATATCTTAATGTTAAATTAAAAAAAGTTGAACATTTATATGTCTCTTTAGTAGGGGGAATTAAAGTGACAATTACAGCTCTAACGATCCCTAGAAAATCAATGCAGGCAGTCATTTTTCTAGTTTACACTTCAGTAAACTTTGACTGAAGCTTCTAAGGTTTAGCATAAATTAGAGGATGACTCTCTGCTTAAGGTTTGCATTGAAGGAAGAAGCCATTTTTGATCAAATTCTTAGCTACTTCATTCTCAGGTTTTGAAGTAATCAGTTCAACAATCGACATCCCAAAACCTCAGGCGGAAGCAACACATACTGGTGTCCCAAAACTGGAAGCTTGTCAGTCAGAATGAGTTTCCCTCTAAGCCGTCTCTGTTTTAAAATTCTATTCTCTTGAACTACAGGCAGACAGAGACATCATGTCTGCAGACCGTAAGCAACAGGCCTGATAAAAAAAAGCTTCAACAAGAATATTGAAACATTTCCCACTGATTTGACTCAACATTTACTGAAACGTTCTTCTACATTTATTTCATTGCGGAATAAAATCCAGCGTACCGATGTTCTTAGAAAGTTTAGTTCCGACTGATTCAATCCATTTAAATGCAGCTTTAGACCAAAAACTCCTCCATTTTAGCCCCAAACACCAGTGAGTGACCTTTGAACCTTCAGACAGCGAATATCTATCAAACAGTATAACTAATAAATAACAGACTGAATCATTCTGAAATTAAGAAGTGGAAAAATTGTGATATTTTCCACTTTATGGGACTTCCTTTACAAGCCAGCCCAAGTCATAAACAAAGTTAGCCGTTGCTAAGGGCTTTCAGGTCTGATTCAAGGCCATAAAAACACCTCATCAATAGGCCCGCCTCAATCATAAGTTCTGCTGGATGATCGTCCCAGAAAAATACTCATTCATCGCTGCAGCTGTCGCCTTCACCTGAGTGCAACTTTATATCAGACTGACCCTCAAGTAGAAAGAGAAACGTAGAAAACAAGCATGAAAACATTAATCACTGAGCTGATTTAAATCTACACCGATTCGTTTTTATCATCAGATTAATTGATTTATTGCTCACTACTCAGAATCCAATCATTTCTTTCCAGTTTATTAAAACCCACTGCTGCCTCCCTGCTTAACACTAAAACGTGTGTTAAATATAACATATACTGACAACCTAAAAAGAATAGCGGTGCTGTGACGGCTCAGAACAACAAAGCCTGTCAAACCCAATAAAGAACCATTCTGACAATTATTACAGAAGTCAAGGTTTTACCAGCAAAAGTTCCCTTTAAAGCTCAGGATCTATGCAAATAGAAAAGCTCATCTCTATTCTGAGATCTATAAACGTCGATAAAAAAGCCTGGGAAACCCATCCAGAACCATGGTGTGGTATAACAACATGCAGAGGTGCTTGGAGAGCAGTCAGGAAACACTGTTTCTTTCAACGCTCTGCCACGGCCCATTAGACAGAATAGCCTATAATCTATTAAGCTTTGGTTCTCTGCCAGAGCAGGAGGGTGTTTTTTTTTTTTCTTCTCTTTTTTTTTTGGATTGGGAGACGCTAGAGGAGCAGCTATGAGGCGTCTGACGGCTCGGTCCCTGCTGTGCATCTGTGGACTGCATCATCCAAGTGTACCATATGCGAGGAGGAACAGGAGGAGTAAACAACAACCACACATGGTACAGATGATCCTGTCGCTGCCTCGGTCACAGAGAACCAAGTGCCTGGATTTATCACACGCTTCACAGCTCTGCTTCTCAGAGGCATCCAGACGCTGTTTCAATACATCCAATGATTTCTGCCTTTCTGAATCCCCTTCAACTCCATAAACCACAGATATCCCTATGAAGCACACCCTAATGGTTGAATTTTAACCTTTTTATGTGGTTATGTTAACCCATTTAGGCCGGGAAAGCATTACCGCATTTCTACCATTTAAGCCGGGGGCGCTGTTGCGTAATTCTACCATTGACGCCGGGAGAGCATATAAGTCAAGCAAGAAGAAAGAAGTTTTTTTCAAGCAAACATGGAGGAGTTTGATAGAGAAGAGTTGTCGGAAGGCAATCATTTTGAGGAGTGTGTCGGCTTTGATGACGGTATAGATGAAAATGATGACTTTGAACGCGCTGAACCAATCGAACTACCACCGCAATGCACGGAGTGTTTTCAACCGCACACCTGGAGTGAAAGTTGATTTGCCTGCAGACGCCACACCGCTGCAGGCATTTGAGCATATTTTTAACGAAGAACTTTGGATGCATCTTGTTACCGAGACGAATAGGTACAGTGACCAAACAAACCAAACTCCAACAAGAGCAAAGATGGCAAAGTGGTCACCCGTGACTGTGACGGAGATGAAGACATTTATTGGGCTGTGTATGGGCATGGGACTTCTTGTGTTGCCAGTACGAAGAGATTATTGGCGACAGAGTAAACCTCTCTTCAGGACGCAGTTCCCCCAAAATATGTCCCGGGACAGATTTGTGGCCATCTGGAGGTAAGTTGTATGCAATTTATAACACAGACATATGCATTATTATGCATAATAATACTGTTAATAAGTAATCATCAGATAGTTATTTATGTAATGTTTGTTCTTTATTTTAAAAACGTTTTATATTGCACATTCTCAATGAAGACATGATCACATATGGAAAAAATAAAAGGTTGAATTTTTTTTTTTTTTTTTTTTGATTACTGCTTTTCACTTTTTTTTGGAAGAATTTCAAAGATAAAATATATTTTGAGTTCTATCTGCTACAGAAGCTGAGATATCAATAATTTACTAGGCGTTGACACAGTTGCTGAATTTACAGAAAAACTTCAGGTTTTAGGGGTATTTTTTAAAATCGGCCATAGGTTTTTAAGGTGTTTTTTCCAGGCGTTTTAGGCCTAAATGGGTTAATCATTTAAATAGTTCAAAGTGCAAATGTATTATTTTTCTCCACTAAGGAGCAAAAAAAGATAAACTTTTGGTCGTTGGCAGCAGGTTGTTGACACATGCTAGTAAAGTTATCGATAGTTTACTGCTGAACTCAATAACCTGCCATAAACCTGACAGGAAATGCACCTGTGTGTGTGTGCAGCCAGCATCTGCCTTCTCTGTATATGCTAGCCCTGAGTGTTTTTGAGTGTTGTTTTCAGCTCTGTGCGGTTCCTCTTTCCTCATCATGTTCTCTGATCTGATGCCAAAGGCCTGCAGCTCTCACCGCTCCGTGCATCCGGCTCATTCTCACCTTTCTGCCTCAATGAAAGGCTTCTTTCAACGTGAAAATAAGACGTACACACAAATTACCTGGAGTAAAAAACTGCTTACAGGGCCTTGCAGCTACTTTATCACAACCTTTTTTATTTTAACATTTTGTCAGGTTTAAAATCGTTAACAGACAGATTTATTTATTTAAAAAAAAGGCTTCGCATTCATTTAGATTTACTTCAGGACTTTAAACCATTTTGACCCTTTGATCAAAACATTTTTATTGTAGCTCTGCTTGTACTAGCAGCTAGCTTTAAGTTGTTAGCCTCTGACAGATTTAATTCCAGGATTTCTCTTCATAAATCTCTAAAAATCTTCCTTGATGAACAGCCTTTCATTGGCATGATACAGCCACTGCCATGTTTAACTGTGTTTTAATGTGTCCATGGTTCTGCATAGTTAGCTTTTTGCATGTAGACAAGAAAACAATAGAATATACTTCATTTTCCCCTACGGGAATTTCTCATGGACTAGAAACAATCAATACACAAACAGTCGAGAGCAGTGGAGCAAACTAGTAGCAGTTATGACAGATCCTTTCCCACCTGAGCGGTGGATATCCACAGCTCCTCCAGAGTTGCTATAAACCTCTTTCCTTAGCTTGTTAGCTTGGTGGACACATCTTGGTAGATTATGTTAGATTAGATTTTTCTTCTAATTAACTCATCAAGAATAATTATGAAGAAAAAATCTAAAAATAAGGCACTCTAAAATTATCTGTGGCTATCAAATTATGTTAAATGCGTTATTAAAAGTTCCTTTTATTAAAGATGTATTTATTTTTTTGCTCAGTTTTAGCCTCCACTTCGCTTAGCACACACAAAGACGGCCTGTTTTCTACGAGTGTGTGTTTGTAGGGGGATAAAGATAAGGGTAAAGTAAAAAGGCAGGCAGTCACTCTCTGCTGCCTCGAGCTACATCTCTACTCTTTCAGCTGGGTTGCCATGGAAACGGACATCTCGGAGGTGATCTGGCCCTTTTATTACAGGTCGCGCCATCGACATCAAGCGCCGCAAATCCAGGATCTTTAAACGAGAGTAATTCAACGTAAAAGACGCCACGGCTGAGCACGGATCGGGGACTGCGATTTGCCACGGATGGTAATGTAAACAAAGCTTGCAGTCGTGTGGAAAGCTTCCCTCGAGAGATGACAGGTTCTTCTGTTTGTGCATGATTCCATCTGCACTCTCATTTCTGGTCAGCACACCGCATTGTTTCAATGATGTAATGAGGAACATGTCATCCCCTTAAGAGGCGGAAATCAGCAGGTGCTCCTGTGGAAGGTCCCATCATGTGTTATTTTCCTGCTTATTGGCCCTCTGAGGCGCAGGAGAGGGATGATATTTGTCCTGCAGACTCATGCACACGTGCCTTAACATGATCCAATATGGCAGCTGATGCACACTAACATACACAAGCACAAGATTCAATTTATGAGCTTTCCAGTGTGTCTGTACATAACTCCCACCCTGAGGCAGTTCAGAGTTAAATTTCAGCATTTCTGCATCAGAGGACCTGCTCTAATAAACCCAATGAAAGGGACGAGAGAACACGGTTCATTAAAAGCAAACTAATTCCTCTTCAGGCGTCCGACCGCACTGGTGCTGATTAGGAGAGCGCTAAAGAAATGTCCTGGAGAAATGGGTGTAAATAAGATTGCATATGTAGCTTTGGTGATTACTCGGGCTGCTTCTCTCTGTACACTCGCAGGATGAATGTGGCTGCTGCACCTGTGCTCTCAAGCATACTGATCAGGCAGAGAGAGAGGCTGTAGTTTATCTGAAGTCTATTACTTCACTGAGACACATTCGTTTTCAGCTAAACATCCCATCTGTGAGAGGCGAAACATAGGGAGACACTTGATAAATGGGTAAAACCACTCGTTACATAAAAATGTGAAACTCAAATGTATAGAATGATCAAACCGCTTTAATCCTGGACAAAAAAGCAGAAAAATTAGGGCTGACGATCTTTAAAACTTACTGGGACATGATGTCAATTATTATTCATCTAAATGTTCTACACTGGAAAAAAAAAAGCCATTTTGTCTTAAAACAAGTGCATTTGTTCTTGAATTGAGGAGGTAAAAGAAACATTTTTCTAATGGAACAAGATGATTTACATTTAAAATCAGAAAACACAATTGCATTGTCTTATTTCAAGTGCATATTATCTGATTATCTTATTTTAAGAGTAAAAATACTCATTCCATTGGCAGATTATCTCATTTACCTACTCAAATTAATAGTAAATACACTTAATTTAAGACATTTTTGCTCATTTCTAGATTGTTTTTTGCAGTGTAGATGGCAAATCAACCTAAAACCAGTCTGTTCTCTTCTGTGCAGTGATCAGCTCCCCTCCTCCTTCTGTCCAACTCTGATAAGAAGTCCATTAAAGTCCTCATCATCATCACTGATGGAATCAGCTCATCTCGACTTACTCGGTTTTGTGAAAAAAATGTCTTTTCCCAAAGGAACTCCTAATAACTTAAATCTAAACAAACTCAGTGCTAGAGCAGAAATGGACATATTTAGCAACATGTAGCCTGTTAGCTTTGCCCAGTTTTTTTTTTTTTGGTAAGCTCACTTTTATTGTTTTTATTAAAAATAACCTACTACATCTACTACTTCCTGTTTCAGGAAAGAGTTTTTCTAAAGGCTACAAAGCAGAGGCTTATATTGCTGCTGGTCTTCCTGCTCTGCTGATCATGACTGGCATAAACGCTTCATTAAACCAAATGTTTGTCAGCTTCAGGGAATTGGAATACCGTTTCTGACCTCTGCCACTGTTCTGATGCTAGTCTATATAAAGCCCCTTTAAGCATTCTTAGCCAACATGGAGGTCTCGCCCTTCTTTACAATGTGTACAACTCTTAAAAGATGCACATAATTCGGAAAAACAGAGCCTCTGGAGAGCAGAGGAAGATCTGAAGGAACCACGGAGGGAAACTGAGTTGCTCTATCAGCTCGTTATCAGTCAGCCCTAAAACGGCCCTTTAATTAAAAGCAGGAGGTAATGAACACACTCGGGAGTCTGATTAGCAGCTAATGCCCCTCGCTGTGAGCAATGGGTTCCCCCCTCTCTGTCTGCCCTCTTTAAAGCTTCACTGAATGGCACACAGCAGTTCAGACTCCCACTCTAAAGGAAACCTGAAATCCCTGCAGCTGCCTCTGGCTTCAAATCACCAACACCTTGAAATTCATCCCCTCAAAAGATGTGGCTTCATCCACGCTTCACTGCAGCATTCTTAATAATGAATTTGTTCCCAGTTTCATTTCACTTCACAAGCGAATTTAGTCTGGACAGATCTGATCAGTGGATGGAAATGGGAACTCAGCTAGCTACACATGCAGAATAACACATAGTACATGTATCGTGGGGTGTTACCTCGGGCAAAAACACACGTGTCGGCTCATCAAGGCGCTGCCGGTAATGCAAACAGCCGAGATGTGGAGGCAATGCACAAATCTCTCCAACTCTCCATGTTGTTTTTTTCTAGGCTACAGTAATCCCTCGGCCTCTGTGCTGCACCCCGAGTAGGAATCTGAATGCATTAAATCTCCAGCGAGACGCTGCGGTTTGAGCGTTAAACCCGGAGTTTTAATAAGTTTCCTGCTGAAAGTCCCTCCATATTGTTAAAAGAAGTGTAAAAATAGGTCAGAGGTCCACCAACGGTCATCGGCATAACTTCTAAAATCTGAAGCTCACATAAGGAGGATTTAATTATTTTAACAAGCTTTTTCTTCCAATTGGCCTCATGAAGTTAAGGACATATGAGGAGGATCTAAATAAAAATCTATAACTGCATTTCTACCATAGTCTGTGCATAGTACACAAAACATGTTCTGTGTGCTTTAAGGCAAAGATCGCGGTACCTTCCAAAAGTTGTCAACTTTGCCGTAGACCAGAGACTGGTTCTGCCTCTTGATGTCGTCGATGTGCTTGATATCGCTGGAGTTGAGGTGCTGCTCCACAACAAAGCCCAAAAAGCTGTTGTCCGGTGTGTGAGCTGAGGGCCAAAAAAACAAGAGAAACCAACATTTAATTAGGCTCCCAGAAGAAAAACTCTGAATGCTTGTTGTTCAAGATGAAATTATTTCATCCAGTCAGCCATGACTCTATTTCCTCCAGTTTAGTGCAGATCATAAACTCAAAGGGACATCAATGCTATCTGCCTGCCAAGTGATGACTGGTAACTATGGGAACCACGAGACGAGGAGGGTCAAGTGCGGCACTGAAGCTGGCAGCGTCTCACCTCGCTGCCATCTGTCTTGTAAAACAAATCTGTGGACAAGAGTCTGGACTGGAAGCAGTCAGGAGTGAAACCAGCCTGGTGAGATTATTTCAACTAAAGGGCGTCTTTGAAAGCAGCCATCAGTGCAGGAAGTGGATCAAGGCGATGTTTTGGTGCATAGCTGTGGTTTCAGACATGACAATCACCAATTAGCCAGAGGGAGGTGAGCCTCTCCACCAACTAATAAATAAAGGAAGAGTTTAGAGCGCTGCATTTAGCTCAAGTCAAACTTCTGCCAATCTGCTGTGAGTGTTGGGATTTTAATCCATGATGAAAACAAATAAAAGCAATCCAGACTTTAGACACAAACTCCAGTGTCAAAGTGACTTTTTTTCCAGCTGAGTTGTTGGCTAAAATGTAACAAAAGCAGTGTTTGTTCAGTCTAAACACTTCACATGTTGGCTCAGGCTAAACACTTTTAGATAAACACAGAAAGAAAGGCCTTTTTCACAGTAAACGAGCGCAGCCGCCTGAGCAGTTACTCAGCAATGTCAAAAATGTGCCGTCTTACCCATGATCCACGTCTAACTTTCTAGTAGCGAGTTTGACAAAAAAGCATAAACTACCCTGAAAAATGAAGACCCAGCCGTAGGTTGAATAGATTAACAGAGGAAAGTGTTTGCACTTAGCCGTGTGTGTCCAAATTTGCATGGGGAGTGTGTGGGAGGGAGCAGGAATGTGGGAGGATATCAGCCGATCTGTGTGAGGTGTCGCTGTGAAAAAAAACCTACTTCCATAAATACCTGCTGGACTGGAAGGATCATGCTGAACATACTTATAGATCTGATGTCATAAAAGCACCGCTGTTACCTTTCAAACAGCACAAACACTCTCAGCTGAAATGCAGATGTGTTTTTGCGTACTACGAAGAGGCCACACTGACACTACCGTACCAAACTGGCAGTGTAAACAGGACCGGCTGGTAATTAGCGCTCAGCCCTCTTGATGCTTTTGGCAACAGATGCCTCCTCTCCCACTAGAGCCGCCACTCAAAATGTCATTCGGCTTGCTACAGCTTCAATCACTATTAGCTAACAAACAGCCTGGGAGGACAGCGCTGCTGGAGAAGCAGCTGCTTTGTTGCCACTGATGAACTTGAGTCAGGGGAAAACAAATTTGCTTTGTAATAAACCCTGAACTTCCTCTGTTGGATTGGGGGTGAAGGAGGCACACGGTCAGCCAGAGCAAGGCAGCGACGTTATAATAGTCCTCCGTGCAGGACGTCTCCCTCTGGTCATAATTAGTCGAAAAATGCTGCCTATAAACAATAAATGTGAACGGTGCAAAAGCTTTAGCGCTTCCCAGCCTTTAGTCTCACTGACTGGTGAAGCAAAAGGAGTTTCTGATTTGACAGCATTCCTGGAAAACCATGTCAGGGCTTCAGTTTTGCCCAGTTGCTGCAATCAGTTAAATGGAACGCCTGAAAACGTTTCAAATTGCTGCAAAGGCTGTAGGCTCATGTGGGACCAATTTAAATCATTTTTTATTCTATCATTTTCCAACAACAGCATCTACTTATACTAGGACTGTGGCTTCAATTTCAGAGCAAATGTTTATTTTTCCATCAGCTGGTTGTGGAAAGACGAGTCAGTGATGTCATCAACCCAAGCTTTCCAGGCACAAGCCAACTCAGAGATCACCGCCATGATAACGGCTGCCAATGTTTGAAGGATAAAGATTGGAGATCAGAACCAGAAAACAAAAAGAAATTTTCTTTGTGCTGACTAAAAAACAGCTTTGAGTAAAACATCACCTGTTAAAGCACTGCAGTCAAACCAAACCAACCTCGGAGGGGAACCGCTCTGCCTTCCCCTCAGGTGCAGAATAGTAAAAGACTTGCAGCTCATCCAAACACAAACTGAAGAGCAGAAAACACTCATTGCATTTCCAACTCTGATATAGATTAATGAGGTCAATTTAGCTTGGTCTTGTCTTATTGACCAGACCAGACGGTCCCAATCCCCTGGACTCAATGATTTATGGAGCAAAACTTAATTGCAACAAACGAACCGATTCAAAGCCAGAATGAATCCTTTTACAGGCGCTGAATTAGTCCATTGCCACATCAGTAGATAATTGATTACTTGGAGAAGCAATTTCCTGCTTTAGTTCTGGTTATGTGGCTGAAAATTCGACTAAAAACATATCTTAAAAAAACTCATCTTGTTAAGTTTGACTTTGTGTTTTTGGGAAAAATGAGGAGAAATTGCAAAAATCACAAAGTATATAAATTTACTCAGAAGGACTCAACATAAGCTTTTTATTTAAAAATCCAATGTTTTAGGAATAAAGTGAATGAAAAGTCTTCTCGGTTTTCGTCCAATAGACATTTAACACCGAAATAAAATGGCTGAAACTTGTGATGACGAGACAAAGGGCGCAGCCGGCATGCAGAAAGATCAGGCGTGTGAAGTAATGCTCTGAAGCAAAAGAGCAAAGGTTGCGAAGCAGAATTAATCAGAGTTGATTGAAAGGCAGAGGTTTTTGAGTGAGAGGGTTGCGAGTTCAAGCGCTGTACATTGGCCTCACTGCACGCTCAGGTCAGCAGCCCTAAATGCAATAGAAATCCAAACGCCCTCATTAGCGTTCTGAATACGAGAAGAATGCGACACGGAAACAGAACCTGCCTAACCGTCTGTGGCGGAAGTGTTGGAAAAGGCCTGAAAGTTTCCCAATAATTTTGCTAAAGTACAGCTCATAACAAAAAAAGTCAGTGGCAAATAAATATTTTGGTTCTTTTGTTACAGAAACTTTATAATTTCATTAAATGCCTCAATTTTTTTTTAAATTAGAGCTAGTACACATCGTAGCCACAAATGCTATGAATTTTCGTGTGTTTAGATTTCCAGTTTTGTTTCCTAATTTTTCTCTTTCGGCCAAGAATGTTCATTTAGGTGCATCCCAAACTGTTTTGCTTCAATATATCATATTTAATCATAGAATACTTGTTTCAGGATGTAACCTAGTAATTCTAGAAGTATGAATACTTTAAGCTAATCTAAAAGACAAAAAAACCCATTCTTAGTGGAATAACTAAAATGTCCAAAAGCAAATAACTTGGACCAAAAATGTCATCCTGAATGAAGATTCTTCAATGGAAAGATGAAATTAAGACGTTATCTCTAGCCAGAAGGTAAGGTGTTGTCAAAGAACAGAAATAAAACCCAAAGTCTTGTGCCTGGAGCTGATACCACTGTGGTTTTAACACTCGACCAAACGTCAGAGCACTTGTTTCTCTGAGATATCATCTAACCTGGCGCCTCTTAGCCAGATCTTCTGCTAAGGCCCCTGTGTTTGATGAGAAAGACGTACCCTATTCAGCAGATAAAGGGCCCATTTAGGCGCGGTTGGACTCGGCACGGCTCCTGGCTTCACCTCGCTAACTGGAATAGCAGGGGTAACATTACACTTTCTCTTAGCCACGGGGAAAAGGTCAGCACTCTTGAGGGCTTGCTCTCTTCCTTCTTCCTGGCCTTGGAAATGGGCTTGATTTAACTTTGGATGCTGATTTTACAGTAAACCTCTATAAAACTTCTATGTCCTACATATATAATCTTTAAAAAGGGGAGCTGAGAATCTGATCTCTTATGTTCTCATATTTTTGATGAGATTCCATTAGTGGTGCTCTGCTTGATTTTTATCCATCTTTTGTTTTCTACAACATTTTAAATAAGTGACTCATTTTTCTGTAACCTACAGATCAAGATTTTTAAAAAGGACAAATACCAGATCTAATTATTGGCCTACTTACGGAACATTGTGTTGAACTGTTGTGGGTTTAGGTTCCACTTCCCCCACGGTGTCTTGTGACCCTTGGACTGTGCGTAGTGGGCGTGGTTGAACTCTGGCTCCGTACCGAAGGAATCCAACACGCGCAGCATGCACCTGTAGCGCAAAAAAAGAAATAAATCCCAGTTAAATTTAGGCTGCTGTGCTGGGGATCAAACATGTCAGCCATGCTTTTTAGCTACTGGTCAGTTTTTGCTACTGTCTGCAGCTGTGAGTTTGTCCTACTACATAAAAATGATTTGCAAATCAAATTGGGGAAAAAAATAAAATAAATTAAAAAATAAATAAACTATAAGAAAATGGCCATCATATCCATGATACATTTTTATTAAAATCCAAGTGGAGATTTTACATTTTAAGGTTTTAATATGAATATTTCTCAACTTTAAACACTAATCTTGCACAAAAAAGACACAGCCAACATAAAGTCATAGAAAACGAACATATCCCAAAGAACGGAAGTTGTGCAAAAACAATAAGCTTTATTGTAGTAGTGGAACGACGCAGGCTGGTTATGAGAGCACCACTGAGTTAGCATCCAATTGAGAGGTCACAGCACAAAATGAATTGGAGCGGATCCAGCACAGGGAATCTTAAACTGCTTGTTGACCTTTTAACTCCATGCTCTACATTTTCAGGCTCACTCAGTGTTACTCATTTCTGCTTGCTAGATGATCATTTGATTGAACTCTGTGTATGAATCTCCACAGCTTTTCAAGTATGATGGCTGTATCCATGCACATGAACAAAAACAGTCAAAGTTAGCAGCATTACAGGAGACTTCAACAGAAAAAAGCAACAACAAAACATCTTGTTTTTCAGTAGGAGTCAGCCTACACATCTAGCTGTGTGGACGGTGGGAAGCCCCTGGGACAGAAAGGAGCTGGGAAACGGATCCACCAGGAGGAAACATTTAACTGAAAGTAGAACATCAACAGCAAGCCCACATGCCATCTCCAGTCACTCCAGAGAAAAACAACCCTGGTAGGTGGACCCTGAACAGATGGGGACGAGCCGCTGGCTGTGTGCAGACTGGGGGGAATCCTACAGAGCTCTTTAAAACGGTGACTGAGCCTGAAAGATGACACTATACTGTAATCCAGCTGAAGCGATGCCTATTTATAAGGTTTCCCCGTTTACAGTGCATAAATCTCAGCACACAGGAGCTGTTCGCTTTTCTGAATTAGTCTGGATCCAAGCTTTTATCAATCAGCGAAATACTTTCAGTGCGTTCTGAATCAAGAAAAGTATGTGGCCATTTTTTTTTTTCTTCTATTCACTGAAAAGAGGAAGCACAGGAACAATGCGGTTTCCTAACAGCATTTCAACATGGGGCGTCAGCTGACGGGCTTCCATATAAAAGAAAACCGGAGGTTCTTTGACGCAGCTTCATGTTAAAGGAGAACAGCACGTATTTGACATCAGGTGGAAATGTGCACATTTAGCCAGTTTACAGTGCTGACGTCAAATAGGTTCTGCAGATATAAGCTGGATTACGTTTGGGTTTCATTTTCTCATTCTGTGCAACATCAGTGCAATAATATTTCCTGTAGCCATGCTGATACACAAGAGGGACCAATCTGATAGAAGAGAACAAATGGCTTTAAATAAAACTATTCAGGGTGGAATCGGGAAGCAAGGCGGATGGATAAACAAAGGTGAAGATGAACAGGACGGATGGAATTAATAAATGAAAAGATGGATTTTTTGTTTTCTCTTTAATATGCCACCTTTGTAATGTATCAAAGAAAGCTTTTATATGTTAAGTAATTGAGTTTCCCCTAAAGAAACGACAGTAGAAAAGGTTTTTCACTGTGTAATAAAAGAATGAAGAGATAATATCTCCAATAGCGCTTCACTTCTTTCATAAAAATCACATAAAAAGCTTAATGTGGCTTTGAGTGGCCAGATATAAATGTATAACAACAGAATGCTGAAAAACACTAATTGGAGCTCCCATTCCGCCCGAGGCTAAATGAATTTCCTCTGGGCTCACAGCTAGCAGATAGCACTCACAGTGCTTTACTTCACAGGGAAACAAAAGCTGGTGACAAGCAAAGAGGAACCAGTGGAGCCATTAGTGCCCTCAGACTTATGTCCCTCCTCTCTTCCTGTTAGGGATTTTTTTTTAAGCAAACCAAGACGACCTAATCTACAGTCCTCAAAGGAGTTCTTTAGGGGAGAATAAACTTGTCATAATATCACCAAAAAAGGCCTACACCTAAAACCTTAATATTCTGAGCTAATATACAAAGTATTGATTGGTCTTCCTGCATGACTGCAAGAGTTAAACCTTAGATGGCAAAGAGAGCACATGGTTTAAACCTATAATGCTTTGTTAAAGTATTAACTTTTTTTATGTTACAACAAAAAGTTTATTGTGTTTTATTTGGTTTTTATAGACTAATTACACCATGAAGAGTACAACAGTAAGTTAAACAGGGAAATATCACTTTAAAAAGCAGAAAATTATTATTTGAATAGGATTCAAACAAACAATGCATTGGGAATTATTAATAAAATCTCCTTCTGAGTTAAAACTCACTTAAAAAAAGTTTTAGAGCTAACAGGTCTGATGTTTTGATCAGAACCAGGACTTAGTTTTAGATTCATTTTAACACAGTGGAAAAACCTCTGAAACATGCAGTTACAAATATAACGGAGCGGTTCGGATCAAATCGGGTTCATTTTCACTAAATAAACAAATTTTTTTTAGCAGCGACATGAAAATAAGTTTTAACATTTAAGGGGAGTGAATGCCTTTAGAATGATAGGACGGTACTTACTGGTAGTGTACCCAGGAAGGCCCTAAGGTCTTCTTAAACTGGGTGAGACCCACGATGTCGATGTAGATGAGCTCCACCACCTTATCCCCTTGGGTTGGGCAGCTGGATTTGTTTCCCATCACCTTTCGCATGATCCTGTACATTAAAGGTTTCAGTGAACCAAGCAGGACAGCAGGTTTCTCCATTTAATTTGACTGTAAAGGTAGTTAACTAAATTCTTTAAGTGCAGCAGGGCTCTAAAGTAATCCAACCATGCAAACTCAAAACAAAACCTGCCTTTAGGCTGAATGTCTGTATTTACGGGAAGTAAATTATCCTGCCTAGAACAGTATGTACAGTATGTGAGTTCAACTGAAAACCTAAATGTGAGGAGTACTGACTCTTTAAGTTCTGCCAGCGAAGCTGAGATGCGAACATCATGACCCAGGAGGTACAGCGTGGTGATGAGATCGCTCCACTGGACCAACTCCCCCAGCGGGCCTCCGCTGAAGGCGTTTTCTGCTATCTTGAAGCCAGACTCCTTGGTGAGCAAACCCAAATGAACCAGGATCTAGTAGAGAGGAGAAAAAAAGGGATTAATCCCCAACATCCCACATTTCTCTTACATCTTCCCTATAATTTAAATTATTTTTACACACAGTCACAGATGAGACATCATATATTGTATGTAAAGCAAAACATGTTATTTCCTTACAAATCTACATTTACTTGGTACCAGAATCATCAGTTTATTATCTGAAGAGACAAATGATAAGTTCCATGGCTGACAGCCAGGCTCTGTCCCCAGCCACACTGATCAGGGATTAATATATGCAGATTAATATCCAAAAAGGATTAGCAGCTCAAACAAAGAACTGGCTTACAAAGCATCCAGAAAGAAGCATCAACTGATTCTAATGAGGGACGACAAAGGTGAGGAGAGTTGTTTAAGGTACTGAAACAGGGAAGAAGATTGAGGTAGGAGTCTTTAACTTCCTTTTGCTGAAAGGGATTCTGCTTTGTTTAGGCAGCACTCATTGATTCATCATGCAAATTCCTCACAGGGCTTGAGGAAAGTGTGGCGTATATAATGCAGAGCTGAGAACAGCCAGCAGCTGAGCTTTCTACAGGAGGACAGGCTGGCGGTGCACAGACACAAGCACGTATTCACCTCTTATAATTGTTGAAAAAAAAAATTTCATGTGGTCAAATTTACATTAATCTCACCTTTTTCTTCCGCCGCTTGGTGAGGTTCTGCTTGGCGGCCAGAGAGCGGATGGCGCTGACCCACGGCTCAGCCATCCGTTTGATTCTCATCATCATCCATCGGAACTCCTCCCGTTGGGACATGGAGCGGTAAAGCCCCGCGAAACTGGTCCTGATCTCCGCCTGCGCACAAATTGTTTACACCGCTCTAAAAAGCAGCTCCAAAACCCAACGGAGAGGGGATTTTCAAACTGTTAGAGGTGAAATGTTTAGCTGGGATGCAGATGGATAGGAGAATGAATGAAGGAGTGTGGGGATGTTTTGCTTGTAGAGTGAACTGAATCCAACAGGCCTTTTCACGTACCAACAGTAAAAAAAAAAAAACTTTTAGCAAAATATGAAAAACAGAAGAGTTACAACATGCTTGTGTGGCAATGGGGCTGACTAACTGAAACCTGTGGAAAATGTGGAAATGAAACAATCGCAAACTGTAGTAAAACACTTTATGAGACACGATGAGATGTGAACAAGACAGTAAAAAAGCCTGGAGGCGATAGGAGAGAAGACATAGGAGAGGAGAAACCACAGCATCTTCGCCAGCTGCTAAGGTGTCCAAAACAAGGCTGTTGCAGGGAATTAGCATCCCTCATCACAACAGGAAATCACTTTCACAGACTGAACCAATTAAAATCCGGCCCTGAATTAAAACCTCTGAAGCCCGCCTCTCCACCGCTGAGGGCTCAGTGCTGTTAAGGCATCCAGAGAGGGAGATGAAGAGTGCTTAATATTGATTCATTCACAGCAGAGGGAGAGGGGGAGTGTTTTGGTTAAGTGCTGATACTGTGACGACCCGGCACAAGCCTGCGAGCCTCGATAAGAGCAGGCTGCCTGCTGCTGGGCTGCTTTAAAATGTCACAGCATACCAATAGAAAACACCGGCAATAAAAAGCTCTGATTTTTCCTTTCTTTTAAAATCATTCCACCTAGGAGGAGGTGTCTGTAGCATGAGGCCAAACCTGCTTCTGTAAAAACATCTCGTAACGTTGGATTTCATGGTTTCTAACTAGCAGAATGTCGGGGATATTTCTCACCTGTCCAGTCCGGTCAGTTTCCTCATTCAGGATCTTCAGCCTCCAGGGGAGACGAGGGCACCAGTTTTCAACCTTAAGAAGCAGAAGACAGCTCCTCAGTTACCTGCAGGTCCATGTTTTCCCGAAAATGTAGCTGTTAAAGGAGAGCAGCTGTTTCTTTGCTTCTACATGTTGACAGTAAATAATGAAGCACAGCTGCAAGAGTTTTACCAACATCAGATGCTATACACAAAAAAAAAACTTAATATCTGTGCATTTATTACCAAGCAAAGGGAGGGGGAATCATTTTAAAACATCTGTCTGACGGATCAAGCATTAAATAGGCTGGAGATATTTCTGCAGCTTTATTCGCGTTTCTCCTTTCAATATTAAACTACTTGCCTTCAGATTACATGCCTTTGTGGTGATCGATCATATAAAATACAAATAAAACTAAGTTTATATTATTTGCATAGGACAGTTTAATATTTAAATGTAATGTTGTAAACTTAAGCCATCTCCTATGTGCATACGAGAAAGTAAGTCATCTTTATAAGTGAAAAAAATCAAATTCAACTTTAATCAACAACAAAAAACAACATCTGAATGTCGTGTTAAAACAATAAGCCAAGGAGCGAGAAGAGCTTAAAATACATGGATGTCACCGTGGCAACCATTCGATCACATGGATCTGAGGGAGAAGGTTTAGATTAGCTGAGATAACAGAGAGAGGAGGGGTGCGGGTGTTTGGGTTCTTCCTGTGCTTTAATCACAAATATCACCGCTTCCTGTTTTTGAGACGACCAAGATGGCTTTTACTGGTGCCCATCTCATCTCTATTTTCATCCACCGCATGTTAGGTTTTATTCTTTACCGCATGAAAGGCTTTTAGCTTATATACAATATTCATAACTCACTATTTCCAGAACTGAAGCTGTGGCTGAAAATCTGCTTTTCTTAAAATTTTTCATGGTAAAAAAAAACAAAAAAAAAAAACTACCAGCTAAAAAATCAAGACTTGAATTAACAGATGTTGGATCGACTGATGAAACTTTGCCAGAAGAGATTTGAATCATCAAAACCCAGCAGATTCGTAACAGAACTTGATAACAAAAGGCTGCGTTGGTTATTGGAGCCTGGGAGATGAAAGGCAGAGAAGCAGATCTAAAATTAGCATATTTGTTCAAGTCTTAAACTTGGAGGATAGGAAATGATTTAAAGATTAGTGGCAGCAAGGAAATCAAAACGTTTCAGGATCTGAGCAAGATATTCTCCAAAGCTTAAAGATGTGGGATAAAAATTAAATTTGGTTTCATTACCTGAGAAACAGAAAGCCTTTTTTTTAAGCCTTTTTTAGTTTTATTCCTGGTGTACTGAAGATCTCAGTGAATACATGTTCTTTTCTTATAGATTAAAAACTTGTTCCTTCAAAAAGTAAATTCCCTTTATGTAAATCATCCTCCCTATCATCTCCCCTCAAGAATACAAAAATGGATCCCCTTTACTTCTCCCTCTGAGCTTCACCCTTATATGATCTCTAAATTATAAGAATCGTGTTACAGAGCAGCTATTTTTCTGTGTTCCATGATTTTAAATCCCCTTTTCTAAATTAGGACAGATTTATAAAATACTCCCAGGAGGAAATTGACCTTTCAACCCCTCCAAGAATGTTCCTTAACAACAAGGTGTTAAGCTAACCCATAAATCAGAGCCTGAACAGCCCCACAGACACGTCTGAACAAGTCAGAAAAACGGTTTCTTTATAAACAGCCCCTTATATTAACGCGTCTTGTTAGACTCAATTTTAAACATAGCTACCGTTCTTCCCCACTAACAACTTCTACCTGGAACAGTGTTGTTCTGCAAGCTGGAAAATCTAATTAAATGACTTAATGTAACTCTCTGTAGAGGCCCAGGTATTCCCAACATTTAAATTAGGTCATTAGGAAGGAGAAACCGAAGAGAAATGCAGGCTAGAATTTCAAATAGCTCTAAACGACGTACCTCACTGAGGTAAATGAAGAAGGAGCAGGTGGACCCATCCACTCCGTAGTTAGAATAGCAGGAGTCGGAGCGCCACATCTCCTTCATCCACTGCAATAATAAAATAAAACAAGAGGACAGAACATATGAGATAATGAAAGACATTCAGCAGGACATGTTAGGGTTTTAACTGATCCTTAGAAACAATAGAAGAGACCATTATTTCCCTCCAACTCTAGTGTAAAAGTACTGGCATTAACGGCAAAATTAACCTTTTACTTTTAGAAACAAAGCCCGGTTTTCATGGACACGACTGGCTCTTCATTTACTGGATCTAATTAATCCCTGAAGCAAAGATTTGGGCAGAGAGAACCTGAAACCCAACTCATTAAAATCGAGGATGCTTACAGAAACAACCCAAGCCTATAAAGCACAAGAGAAATTTTTCTTTATAAGTTAATTGTTCAAATATTGTGACCAAATGATCAATTACAGGTGCTGGTCATAAAATTAGAATATCATGAAAAAGTAGATTGATTTCAGTAATTCCATTTAAAAAGTGAAACTTGTATATTATATTCATACATTACATACAAACTCATATATTTCAGATGTTTATTTTGTTTAATTTTGATGATTACAAATGACAACAAATGAAAATCTCAAATTCATCATATCAGAAAATTAGAATATTACTGAAGACCAATAAAAACAAAGGATTTATAGAAATGTTGGCCAACTGAAAAGTATGAACATGAAAAGTATGAGCATGTACAGCACTCAGTATTTAGTTGGGCCTCCTTTGGCCTGTATTACTGCAGCAATGCGGCGTGGCATGGAGTCGATCAGTCTGTGGCACTGCTCAGGTGTTATGATAGCCCAGGTTGCTCTAATAGTGGCTTTTAGCTCTTCTGAATTGTTGGGTCTGGTGTATTGCATCTTCTTCTTCACAATACCCCATAGATTTTCTATGGGGTTAAGGTCAGGAGAGTTTGCTGGCCAATTAAGAACAGGGATACCATGGTCCTTCAACCAGGTACTGGTAGCTTTGGCACTGTGTGCAGGTGCCAAGTCCTGTTGGAAAATGAAATCTGCATCTCCAAAAAGTTGGTCAGCTGCAGGAGGCATGAAGTGCTCTAAAACTTCCTGGTATGTGGCTGCGTTGACCCTGGACCTCAGAAAACACAATGGACCAACACCAGCAGATGACATGGCACCCCAAACCATCACTGACTGTGGAAACTTTACACTGGACTTCAAGCAACGTGGATGAAGTGCCTCTCTTCTTTTCCTCCAGACTCTGGGACCTTGATTTCCAAAGGAAATGCAAAATTTACTTTCATCAGAGAACATGACTTTGGACCACTCACCAGCAGTCCAGTCCTGTTTCTCTTTAGCCCAGGCAAGACGCTTCTGACGCTGTCTGTGGTTCAAGAGTGGCTTGACACAAGGAATGCGACAGCAGAAACCCATGTCTTTCATACGTCTGTGTGCGGTGGTTCTTGAAGCACTCACTCCAGCTGCAGTCCACTCTTTGTGAATCTCCCCCACATTTTTGAATGGGTTTTGTTTCACAATCCTCTCCAGGGTGCGGTTATCTCTCTTGCTTGTACACTTTTTTCGACCACATCTTTTCCTTCCCTTCGCCTCTCTATTAATGTGCTTGGACACTGAGCTCTGTGAACAGCCAGCCTCTTTAGCGATGACCTTTTGTCTTGCCCTCCTTGTGCAAGGTGTCGATGGTCGTCTTTTGGACAACTGTCAAGTCAGCAGTCTTCCCCATGATTGTGTAGCCTATAGAACTAGACTGAAAGACCATTTAAAGGCTTTTGCAGGTGGTTTGAGTTAATTAGCTGATTAGAGTGTGGCACCAGGGGCCATCAATTTTGAACCTTTTCACAATATTCTAATTTTCTGATATGATGAATTTGAGATTTTCATTTGTTGTCATTTGTAATCATCAAAATTAAACAAAATAAACATCTGAAATATATGAGTTTGTATGTAATGTATGAATATAATATACAAGTTTCACTTTTTAAATGGAATTACTGAAATCAATCTACTTTTTCATGATATTCTAATTTTATGACCAGCACCTGTAGTCGTATCATAGAATGCATGCTAACATTAAACTAGCATCTGCTTCATAAAGCATCAATAAAACAGCTTATTCTTTATTACTTGATTGATATTGGACCATCTCCATTCCTTGTTCCAAATATAACCACTTTTAAGGGTCATATACTAAGATTAAACCTTTTCTACACAGTTTAAACATATAAAATAACAAAAATAAAATTGCCAAAGCTAGTTAAAACCCTCCCAGCCAGAAGTCCTCGTACCCTCTACGGCTTCCCTGCTTTGTTCACAGATGTGAACTGACTGATAGTGACCCTGCTGGAGCTTTATGTAGAAGAAATGATGCATCAAATTAAAGTTTGGCAAACGAGCTTGAATGAGTCATTAAGTGGCGTGGAGATTCCAGCCTTTTCTTTAAACCAGATCCAAGACAAGTCCATAAAAATGCAAAAAAAATTGATTTTTCAGATGTTTAAAAGCTGCTGGACTCCAGTATAGGAAATTTTCAAGCTTGAGTGAGCCATTGTGTCTGTGGGTGTGTGTGTGTTGTCAAAGAGTTTCAGCGCTGGCTTTCACTGGCTCGGAAATGCTGACGTATTGTATGAAAATTGTGACTGGTGGTGCAGATGGTGTGCAGTCATAGGTCCCGACAGCTTGACATACACAAACACAAAACTAAACCATGCACAAACATTTTGCATGCGCCTATATGCATCTATAAGAGTTTAACTTCTTACAGTTGCCAAACAAATTAAAAACAGCATAAATGAGCTGTGAAAAAACAAGGCACACTGTTCTGAGTTAGTGTTTTTAGGGTGGATTTTATTTTTTTGACATGATTAAAGAGTTTTCCTGTTACACCACTTCAAAGCTGCCAAATATTTAACATTCAAAGAAAAAAAGCTACTTAATTCTAATTTGTTTTATTTAAAACACCCTTTGAGACATGCAACTCTCCATTTTAAATATTCTGGTTTTGTTATATGCATGTGAGATTTCCATTTGATTTGCTGTCATCAACTTTTCTTAAAATCCACATGTAGTTCAACTTGCATATGACTCGTTAATTTAGCTGCAACTCACTTAAAGGAGGAGTTTGATTATAGGCTCTTTTTTTCCCCCTTACTTAAAGCTAAATATGTGAAAAGAAAGTAAACCCATAAATCAATAAAAATGGATACAAATGTTGACAGGTTAGTAATTGAAATGCCAAACAGCTGAGAATAAAATTCCCAATGCAACGCAGTATGGCAGTCATAAAAAAATTTCTATGTCATATTTGCATATGCACCAAACATGCAAATGTGAGATTCCAACCTGTGTGAAGCGGGTGGTGGCATGCAAACTGCATGTGTGCAAATACTGCGCATCAAGTTCAAAGTCTACCAGCTCAGTTTCTATTTGAAATGAAGATATGAAACACGGGGAAAAATGTAATGGGAGTAAAACAGGTGTAAGAAAAGCAGGGGAAGATAGATATACGTGTGTGTGTGATGCACCTTGAGCTTGCCCTCGCAGTGAGGAAAACCATCCAGAGGTGGCAGCTCACACTTCTCCTGGGCTCCGTTTAGGAGGTCTAAGGGAGCAGAGACAGAAGAAAATCAATGAGATGGACTGGGTCAGCCATAAAGTTTTTTCTTTTATTGTATATAACTTCGACAGCACCAAAAAAGAAAATGAAGAGTTTTAGATGAGATAGAACAGAATACAGACTGTGCGTAACAGTATGGATCTCAGGGTTGAGTTTCCAAGGGTTGAGTCCTAGGATACAATACAGGCAAATAAAACTACATTTGAACAGCAGCTTGACAATGTGCAATACTCCTAATAATCTTCTCTTAAAGACATAGATAATGAATTTATTCAAAATTTGTATCAATAAAATTATTAACTACTTTAGCAGGATTTGGTGCAACAATAGTGGTAAATCCTGCAGAGACGCTTTGGATTATTAGGGAAGCAGGAAGAGAATCAAAGGACGTAGAATTAAGATCAGGGTTGAGGCTCTTCACAGCATATCTATGAGTTAAAATGGCTCAGACCAAAATCCAAATGAGAATCAATACTCAAATATTACAAATATCAATACCCATTTAACCTGACTGATCCTCAGGTATTTTCCATGATAAATGGGAAAACACTGGTCCTACAAAGGTCCATAAGGGGTGGGGGGTTAATAAATATGCACGCCATGCTTTTCTCATATTTTCTGATTAAACATCACAATTTGATATTCCAACTTCACATGTATGCACCACTTTCTATTGGTCACGTTTATAAAACTCCTCCAGTTTAAAAACCGATATATGGGTAATTTAAAACTGTGTATTTCAACCAACAGTTGAAACCAGATAGGGAAAACAGTCAAACTCTTTAATAAAATAACTTTAGTGGTTTAAACGGCAAACAAATGTTTCAGCAGCTCAAACATGCAATATGTCAAAACCAGTTCAGCCAGTTAGATCGGAAGGGAGGAGGTGAACAAGGCCCAAGCAGCCACGTACAGCTAACAATAGAGCATTAGCTGCTGGTGAAGTGTGCCATATAAAAATGTCTCCCTAACAAACCTGCATTGCGTTTGCCTTATACAGAACAGCACTGAGACAGCTAGTCCTTCAGTCTGCCGAGGGGGCAGCTGCTCTATAATCTACAGCCCACACTACCAACCACAAAGAGACAGTCATAAAACCTTCCCTCTTTAACACTAAAGAATTTTGCAACTGCAGGTGAAGCTGAAAGCGTCTCAGCAGGAAGAACGATTCTGAAGAATTACACCGTTTCAATATAAGATAGTGGGTTTTTAAAAAGGGGAAATGAAATTATGATTATTTGAATAAAAAAAAAAAACATTCATAAAGAGCAGCTACTGTTGAAAGCAGGACCTGCTGTACTGGTTTAAACTGGTGCTTTCCTGGATTCAGACAAGCTGATTACTGGATTCAAATCGAAGCAGGAAGTGAGTTCCATATATTTATGGTAGTAACTTAGAGAACCGTGGGGAAAAAAAGAAAAAGCAGACAGGCCTCCAATGTAATTTGACTTTTAATGGAGCTATAAGATGGCAAGTTATTTTTAGTTTAAATTTCATCTGATTAAAAGAAAAATAAACTGATTCCTGATAGTTTAATGATCTTACATGGGAATATCTTATTTTATCTATCTTATTTTAAAGCATTAGGAGGCTTGTAGAGGCCACTCATATCGGAGGGAAGCATGTTACTAATAGAACACGGGAAACATAAGCTGCAGCAGTTTGGTCAGTAGGAAGATTTTAAACCTGCTTTTAACAAATAAACAGTGAAACTAAAACCTGCTTCTAAGCTGGAAATCTAGCTATTGAAACTCAAAACCCACGCCTCTGATACAAACAGGTATTAATGCATGGAGGTGTGATAGCTGTATGTAGTGTAAAACTAAGACTTACAACCATGACTCAATCACTAAATAGTCTCAATGAAAGTTTGGGTAAATCCATCCTTTGTTATAAGAGCACCCATTCAGTGAAGATTAAAAACCAATCTATTGTGTTTGATAAATGTTTAACTAAATCAATTGTGCCATAAAATTTTACATAAAATATAGGGATCTATATTACCATAGATATACGATCTATATTACCATAGATATACGATCCATATTACCATAGATATATGCCACTACAATGGCCTGCCAATATGTTATATGTTGGTCTTGTATCAGTATTGGCCAAAAGGGGCATTCCTTAGTTTCGTATTCGCATTGCCACTCCCTTTTCTTTTTTTACTACCCACAATTATTGTTGTTTGACTTGTTAATAAATGTTGATTAAAACAAGAAAGCAGCACAAATCAATTAGACTGATGTCACAATAATTAGGTCTTAAATATCAAATGTGATTTATAGCCATCTTTATTTGTGCAGGTCATTTAAGACTAGGGCTGGGTAAAAAAATCGATTTAGAATCGATTCCTTTACATTTCTGCAAAAATCGATGTCTAGGGAATGAGATCGATTCATTTTATAGTGACCCGCATGACGTTCACATTCAAATAAGCAGGAAAGATGCACTCAAGATTACTTCAAGCCAGAAAGCTGCAAATATACCCAATAGGTGGATTGAAGACATTAACAAATGGGGCTGACCAGAAAACACCCTGTAGTTGTTACAGACAGCGCTGCAAATATGGTTTGTGCATTTAAGATAATGTAGCTCATGTATGTCTGCTGTGTCACGTCTGCTTGCTAGAGTGAGGCTTCACTTTTCACTTTAAACATGAGATGTGAACAAAACTGTCTCAAAAGTGCAAACTTGTTTGTGAAAACTGTCTGATTTACAAGTTTGCACTTTGTGTTTAATGTAACAGGAAAAAACAAAATAATTTTGAAACACAGTTAAACCACTTTCATTATTGTAAAAACAGATCTAATCGAAATTAATCAATTTAGAACTGTATGAATCAAAATCAAATCGATTCAGGACTTTGGCGAAAATACCCAGCCCTATTTAAGACCATCCAGAGTTCTGAGTCCTCTAGGATTATCAAAAACATAAATGCTCCAAAAAGTATTGATTCTCAAATGCTGTATCTGGATGCAATAGTAAATGCCATGGTATTGATACTATGGACAGGTGCTTACATATTTCTGATATAGTTAATTTTATATTTCTCTAATATTTGCACAATAAAATCTCAGGCAACCCTAAAATCAGATTGAATTTTGTTAGATTCGTTTAACTATCATCTGTGATTCTGCTGGGAAAGCATGCTATAGTTTGAAAAAGGGGACTTTTTCATGTCACTCTAAAGAAAAATGTTTCCTCCTCCTTCCCATGACAAGCTTTCTTTGTTTTCTCATTTTTTTTATATTCAGTTTTATTTATTTTGTGCCCGTTCATGTCGTCTCAAGGCCAAAGTACAAAGACGGTTCAATTTAAATCATACAGACTGGTTAAAAGTTTTCCACATCAGGAAACCCAATGGTTTGCTCCCAGTCATTGTCCAAACAACTTTAGCTCCTCCTGGAGGGGAGTATGTTGGCAGTATTATTGATTGATTGATTGTCCGACATAAATTTTACTCTGTCGACATTCTTGTTCAGTAAAAATCCTGTATGACTAATGATTAATAGCTTGAACAAATAAAAACAAATTCTCAGTCTAAGAAGTCCAGCAATATCACTCAAAATAACAAGGCTCCAGTGGTTTTAGAAGAGAAACCGGCCCCCAGCATCACAGATCCTCCACTATGCCAACCAGAAATCACAAAAATGATACAATACATAAAAAGTTTAACTAATTTATTGATAAAAAAATTTAACAGAAACTGTAAAAGATGTCAAGTTAGTTACCAATGTTTTTTTTTTTTTCATACTTTGCCACCAATTAAAGGTTGGGTTTTTATGAAAAACAAATTGCAGTTTGATTGTACTGTAATAAAAAGAAATTCATTTTTCTAGGGATGTGAAGAAGCACACATCAGTATCATAACTCCACAACCATTGGATAGCATACAGTGTTTCACATCTAAACAGCTATAAAACCTGAAAGAAATACAAGTGCAATGCATCCGTCTGTAGTACCACTTTAAAAAGAAACCAAAACTGAAAGAAACAAAGAGGGCTCCTGGGTATTACTAAACACTGCTGTTCACCAACAAGGTAGTTAGAGCAGATTTATGTTGATCATCTTTCAGACCGGTAAATAATAACCCGGTCAGTAAGCTAAAGAAGATAATAAGTTAATTGGCATCAATGTAAATTAGCAAAATATACTATAACTAGCTGTGCCATCTGCTCCTTTCACTCCATCCCTAGTCTGACAACAAATCTCTCCACAGTGATTGGTTCCTCCCTCATCTGCTCTAAAGAGAAAACAGCCCTCTGAGCTTAAATCACAAATGGTTGCACACCTGTAGCATCCAATGTGCTCTAAGGTCTCTGGTGAGGAAGAGATTTTTTTTCCTAACAGCTGCTGAGGCTACATTCAGGTACAGCTGGTACTGTATAGAAGGAACTCTATAGACAGTTTTATCACCCATCAGGCAATGACTTATGGAAGACCAATCCTGCCATAATTAAAAATACATAAATAAATTACTCAAATATAAATTGTTGGTAAAATAATGGCGTTAAATCTAAATTAGTGAACCATTAAATGCAACAAACTGATAAAAACTAGAGATTTAAATACATTATATATATTTATATTTATACAAGTAACCCAACCATTGTACTACCTGCTGCTAACTGTACTACCGGTACTTCTAAACTGATTAGCATGAACAGGATGGAAGTTAGCTATAATGGCTATGCCTTCCTTCCTATCTTAACGCATCTGCATTTCTGTACTCCTCAGTTTATATTTTAGAACAGGGTGAAGGGTTGATTCAAGAAACTGAAAATGACCTCTCACTGAGGTCAAGCCAAATCTTACCAGACTGAATTCTTGTGTGCTTTTACACCCGTACTGTTTACACAACTTTAGCAGAGGAGCCAAAAGTTGAGCAGAGCACTGCATGCAGTTCAAGTGACATATTTACATAGCTTGTACAAAAAGACAACTCCTTTTCCCCCCCTCACAGTGTAAGATTAAACACG